ACTGTGGACGAGACCCGCTGCGCACCACCTAAGAATCCCTGGAATGATTCGATTCCCCAAGGAAAATACCAGCCAACAATGGTTTTCCATGGCTGTTGGTTTTTTGTGCGCCGGCCCCCTTGACAATGGACAAAAGGAGCTGCACCCACTGGGTGTTTCACGTCAGGGAGGGAAAGTTATAACCACGGTTATAACTTGGGTAACTGGGCTGACCGTCTATGGCTTTTATTGAAGTTTGCTCAACATCCAAGCAATGGGTTTCTGGTAAGATGGTTTCTACTACCGGTCAACATTCTACCGTTTCTACCGTCGCTTTTCGTGGCTGTAGAACCCCCTGTTTTCCCCAGCTTCGGGTTGTCGTGGGGTTTCCATCTTGGGGCCAACGAGGCTAAGGCGCGAGGGCCTCGCGGAGGAGTTGCCCTGCCACTTGTACCCGGCGGCCTCCACCTCTTGCTGCGTCCAGCGCTCCCGGAAGCGGCGCTGTGTGGGCTGCTGCTGCTGCTGCGGCCCCTGAAGCAAGCAACGCGCGAGAGAGAGAGAGAGATATATATATATATATATGCAAACACTGGGCAAGCTGAGAACTAGCAAAAACAAACTACCTGGAGTCTCCATGACCCTTTAACAAATTGCGTCATTACCCAAAATAATGGTGTCACTGACCCATTTTCAAGGGTCATGGAGACTCCAAGTAGGCAAACAGCCGTGCCCCCGAAAGCTTTAGCAAGTTCACTTTGGCAACGCTTGGTGTGGGCATGCACAACTAAAGCTTGTTGGTTTTGGTGCAGCCCCCTAGAACAAATGGCTGTGGCTCAAAAAACCGGTACCAAAATGGAACCTTGGTAAGTGGAAACATGGACCAAAACCTGCAGTTTGCCACTCCTGTTTAATTGAGTCACACCCAAATGAAGAGAACCAAAGAAACAAGCAGCTCAACACTTGCCAGCAACAGTGAAGGGAAGCTCATCTTCCCCGTAATTGCTGGATTGAAGTTGTGGTTTGGGGGGTGGGGCCGAGCCCTCCGCAGCAGGGATTCAACTCTCACAACCAAAGCAAAGCAGCAAGTAAGCAGCACCCGAGTTGGAGTAACATCCTCAAACTGAGGGTTTGGTTTTGCCCTTTCATATAGGGGGTGACTTTAACAATAAAGAAAAACTCTCCGAAAGTAATCTCCACCACATTTCCAGCCTTTGGCTCGGCCGATTCAAGCTGCAGCCGCGAGTGTCCTGGGGAAGCTGCAATCGGCAATGTGAAAAGTATTCACACTTGAAATTGCTTGTTCACCCCCCCCCCCGGGCACCCCAGGATGATTCTCAGAACCTTTCTAAGAAGCTCTGAAGAAGCTGAACTCACCTTGAATTGGCCAAGTTCAAAAGCCACCAAACGTGGAAACAAGGGGGGCCCCCGCCACCAAAAACAAAAAGATAGTGACTTCCTTTTTGTGTCTCCCCTGAACCCACTCGCCCCCCCCCCCCTCCCCCCCGCCCCCGGAGTTGGTACCGCGTTCATCCCCTTCATCTCGGAGAATTTCAACATCAAACTTTCATCCATGTCCTCAGGCGACACACTATTCTCACAGAGAATCCTTCTTGCCCCCCCAACAAAAACAACACACACACACACAAAAAAACAAAGTGAGTTCCTTTTCGCCCCCCCCCTCTCCAACCCCCCCCCCCCCCACACACACCAAACACACAAACTTCGGACCACTTCTTGGACCCCCCCCAACCACACACACAAAAACACACACAAACACACACAAACACACACAAACAAACAAACAAACAAACAAACAAACAAACAAACAAACAAACAAACACACACTCACACACAACAAAAAAAGAGCAAACTGCGGACCCCAACAAAAAACAAAACCAACAACAACAAAAACAAAAAACCACAAGCCTCGGGGGAAAAAACGTCTCCCGCGCCCCCGCCGGGTCTTTCGGTCCTTCGGCTCCTGTCCGCGCGAGGCGCTGCCGGAGCTGGGCCACCTCCGCCTCCAGGGCCTCGATGCGCTCCTGGACGGGTGGAAGGGGGGAGGCTGGTTTAGGGCTAGCCCTCAAGGAGGGGGGAGGGGGAGGGGAGGGGAGGGGGAGGGGTGAGACAAGGGGAGGGGAGGGGGAGGAGGGGAGGGCGGGGTGGGGAGGGGGAGGGGAGGAGAGGGGGAAGAGGGGAGGGGGGAGGAGGGAGGGGACGTTGAATTCTAAATGGGGGCTGGGGATGCCCACTTCCCCCAGTAAACTTAGAGTTGATTTCGCAACCTGCTTCCAGGAAGCGGTGGCGGAGCGGTATTTTTTGGGCGAAATGGACTTTGGGCGAAATGGTGCAAGCGTCCATGTGTGTGTGTGTGTGTGTGTGTGTGTGTGTGTGTGTGTGTGTGTGTGTGTGTGTGTGTGTGTGTGTGTGTGTGTGTGTGTGTGTGTGTGTGTGTGTGTGTGTGTGTGTGTGTGTGTGTGTGTGTGTGTGTGTGTGTGTGTGTGTGTGTGTGTGTGTGTGTGTGTGTGTGTGTGTGTGTGTGTGTGTGTGTGTGTGTGTGTGTGTGTGTGTGTGTGTGTGTGTGTGTGTGTGTGTGTGTGTGTGTGTGTGTGTGTGTGTGTGTGTGTGTGTGTGTGTGTGTGTGTGTGTGTGTGTGTGTGTGTTCTGTAGGCTCTGTAAGGAACCCGAAGGAATTCGAAAGGGGCTCTCGCCACCCAATCCTTGTACAGGGATTCCACACCTTAGGGAAACCTTGAACCAAAGATTCTTGAAACCAAGCCCCTGGAAACCAGGCGGATGGACAAACACTCGTGTTTTACACAGTTGCATAGCAGTTCAAGCGGCGGAGTTGCGCTTGGACCGGGCTTTTTTAACATACAGGGCTGATCACGTTCAGTTGTTCAGACATGCTTGATTCAACAATTGTTATTGGCCATTGTTTAAACAACCAGCCCCTGGAACACACCGGTTGATTGAACAATGACGTAAACAAAAGGGTTAAACAAGAGAGAACTTGTCTGGATTTGAGCTATAAGCATCCTTCCTAGCCCTCCCAGGCAAGGCATTTTAGGTCACCAGTGTTGCCAAGGTGTTCTATCAGTTGAACTTTTCCCTGACTACCTGCGGCACTGTGCCTTGATGAAGCACCTTCATTTAGATTACAAGCTGGGTTCCAGCTTTTGACAACCCCAGCTGTTGACCTAAGAGAAGTGGTTCAAGTCTATTGAAGTCTACCTTGGGGCAAGAAACAATTGGAACCCGTGCTGGCCCTCCAGATTTGAGAGGTTAGAATAAGGGTACCCGATAATATTTTCTGTAGCCCATTTTGTGTAGGGGAACCCTCCCCCCCAAAAAGTTGGTGAGAAAGGGCACTTAGCCGGGGGACCTAGCCTGCAAGTCCCTGGTGGGTGCCCGGCCACAGCTCCTCCTGCATCTGGGCCTTGGCGGTCGCCTGCAGCAAGCCCGTCTCCTCTGCCTGGCGCGGGACTCTTGGCCGTCTTCGCCCCCAGGCGCGAGCAACCAGCAACCAGGCGCTGGTGGCTGCCATTGGAACCGCTTTTCCTTGAAAGACATTGAGTTGATGGCCCGGAACAAGTCCGAACCTTTTCTTTGCCAAAGATGGTCTCCCCGAAAAAAGTGTTCAAAGTCCAAGAACTCAGGAACTAAGAAACGAGCCTGGACAAGACGGGGCTGTGGGGCCTGGTGAAGTGTGAAGCGAAGCCTGGAACTTCCAACCAACCCGTGCGCGCCTCGCACCCGTTTGCGCCACACTCTGCGGCCAAAGCCGACCGCAGGGCGATGAGAGGAAGCCATGCGAGTTTCACCATGGCGTTTCTGAGACCTGGACGCAAGTGGGTTTTTGCTTCTCGATCCAGGCGCTGGCGGCGCGTGAGAGCTTTTAAACTGCCCTTTTTGGTTTGCCCTTTTGCCCGGAAGGGGAAAAGGGCAGGAAACTCTAGCACTCCTAATGACCTTCCCTTTTCCAGCACTCTTTTGCCCCACTGCTTGGCCCAGGTTTTCCATGACACGTTCAAATAAATGGATGCCTTGAGGGACCCACGTGGGGCTTCATCACGCCTCATCTGGACGGCAAACCTCAAAAACTGCGTGGTGTTCCGTTGGCTGTTTGAAGCAACCCCAAAACAACACCCTTCAACAGGACTGCGCTTCAACAGGACTGCCACAAACCCACACGCCTTGTTGCTTGGCTGGAATTAGGGCCCCAGCAAAAAAATAATGTTTGCCGGGTTAATGGAAAACAAAAAACCCAACAAAGCAAAAAACAATAAAAAGGGGAACTAATTCTAGGGAAGGTTGATGCCTGATGCCGCGGCAGCCTCAGCAATTCACTAGCGCTAAGTCCAACCACTCCCACTCCCCCCGCACGCCCTGATTGGGGACCAAGCTTTTTGGAGAGCACTCCTGGCTTGTGGCGAAGCGCCTACTTAAGGCAAATGGATTCTAACGTGGCTCCTGAAGCCTCTCACTTGCAGTAGGGGAACCCCTGGGTGAAACCTGTTGGCTTGCCTTTAAACAACATCAGGCCCAAAGCTGCAAAACAAAATGACACCGCAACCTTGGGCGTACCATAAGTGCCTTAAGTCCGGGGTGCTGCAAGACTTTTGCGTGACGGTACAACTATCATTGGAACCTATTCTTCTGGGCCATGTTTGGGCCCCAACGCCTCCAAGCATTTGAAACACCGCCGAAGGGTCGAGCTGGGCGGTCCAGTTCCAAATTCCTAGTCGGCACTTTCCCAACAACAACGGAACCCAGGACTCGAGCGCGGGGGTATGTTTGTTTCCTCCAAAAGACCATCTGCCGTCCAAACACTCTCGCTTGGGCCGAGCGGGCTTGACCCCAGTTGACTAAGCATGAACCGTGGGAGGTGTTGGGCATTCGATAGGGGTTGGAGAAAAATGCGAACAAAAACCATCCCCTTGCATTAGCATCCGTTTAAGGGAAATCCTGTTTGTGTGGCACGCATCTTGCGGGCGATAGCAGGAAGACGTCCAAGCGACGAGGTCTTGTTCAGGTTCGTCATCCTCCGCATGCCGCGAATCCACTCCTCAGCACGCTGAAACATGTCATGGGCGTGCTGAGGAGTTTAAGCTGACACCCAAAAGCCTCGACCGACCCATTCCTTTCATGCGAGCATCATGCGAGCCTAGAGGGTCAGGGGCGTGTTTGTGGCACCCAACGTGGCTCAAAGAATGGACGCGCTGGAGTTTCAAAAGAGAATTCGCTTTGCAAAGAATCACACAGCTACCGACGAAGCTCCAAATCAAACATGGCAATGCTCCCACCTCGAGGTTGCAGAACGCTTGGTGCGCCAAGCCTCTTTCCCAAGGTGCGCATGCGTGGGGGAGGGGGGGGGAGGGGGTGGCACACCCGAAACTACGCTCGCTATAGGGCCCTTGCAAACAATTCCCGAGACGTGGCCTCGCCCAAAAGATGGCCATGTTTTGCTCGATAATAGCGTGCCTGATGCCAAATCCGGCTTCGCCCGAAGAAACGGCTCTAGGCCCCAGAGGCCCCACAATGGCAACAGGTCGCTGCCTGGGCACTGGGATCGGGAACTTGCCCTCCTCGTCGACCCAAAGCATCGAGGTGCCGTTGGAGGGTTCATAGAGGGACTTGGGCAAATGGATCTTCCTTGCCACCAGGGTGCGCGACTCCCACGCTGAACTTGATTTTGAAGGAGCTCCACTAAATCCGTTCCCCAAAACAAAACGCGGACCCCACAAAAAAAGAAAATACTCTCTGGGGGAGAAAACAGATTAAATTAATAGGATCCTTTGGGGTCGACCGAATTTCCTCTTCCGTCCTCGTCCATATGGGCTCCCTTCCCTTCCCGTCCGTACACGAAAAACCGCAAAACCACAATTTTGCGAGTTCCCTTTTTTGCAGTCTAAACTAATTAGAATTACAATTCAAGAAGCAAATGTAAATTAAAGAAAGAAGGGTAGTGCATTTAGAGTTTGGTATGGGGTTGGCGCAAGGAGCCCCCGAATAAGGCTGGGGCTTGTCTGTGCGGACACGTCGGACATTGGTTTTGAATTGGGCCACTCTAAAACTAGTATTGGCCAGTCTGGAAAACGGTATTTATATGACAGGGGGAGCGGATTAAAGCTGGTCAGACCGCCTGCGCGTGCTACAGCTGCTACCGTGCAAGCCGCAGCCAAGAGACTGCGCTCACAACTGCAAGTGGCCGCGTCGATGGCTTTACGCCCAGCCGTTGTTCTTGGCTGCACCAGCATTGACACGAAATTCCAAGGAACTGTTTGCAACTTCCATCGGCGAACCGCGCGGGCATTCCTTTGTCTGCACACAATGTCGGCAAAGCAGCTGCAGCAGAAACTGCAATTGGAGGTGCCCTCGCGCGTATGAAGCGATTTGCCCGCAGACAAGACACGCCGCGGCGCGTCCCTGCCTGAAACAACTCAGCCTGTTGCGGTGGGGGGGGCAACAGGCTGCGGGCAATGGTGGGGGCACGTGCCCAGTGCAGAATCACATGCTTTCAGAACTTGTCAGCCATTGACTCAATGGCAGCAGGTGGCAACAAGGCAGGACAAGCAGGACACAATAAGTACGTACGCACTGAACTCCTTGCCGTTGCACACGCAGCGGTCTATGAGAGCTGAGAACAAGGCCAACTGACGTCAGCACTCTGCCATTTTTCTGCGCCACTTTCAATCCTGGTTGCGATTACGTGGTGGGCCGGAAAGCTAACACCACTCCTGACTGTCAAGCCACTCGCCTACTAACAGTTCGGTTCCAAGCACCCGGGCGAATACCCTCCCAGCCGCTTGCATGCTTCCAAGCATGTGCATCACAGGCTTAGAGATCAAAGGCTTTCATTTGATGCTGTTTGCAGTACACGAACTACGATGCCATTGGCGGAAAGAGGGGAGGTAGTCGATTTTAGAGGACACCCTCCAAAAAGAAAGGACAATCGATTGAAGCATGTTAATTAGGGCCAACTTTGAGGAAGACACGCGGCCACGCTTGTCTTTGAAGAAAGATACGCGAACAACATGGGTTGGGCCCAAAGTGAAACAGACTACAAAACGGTTTGGCGTGCTTCAGGAAAAGGAAACATATTTGCATATAGCCAAGAAAGGCTCCTTGAAAGCTATGTTTAAAAACAACAGCTGGCCTCACGCATGGTCAAAATGAAGTGAAATCCACTCTTTAAGCAAGCCGGAAGGAGGTGATGCTGTACGCCAGCTACAAGAAAGGAGCCACTACGTAGCGATCTACTCTTTTAGGAGGACTGTCCAACCCAAATCTGCTTTTGCAACACAGTTCAACTCTTTAAACCTGACATTTTTTCAAAGCCCCAGGAAAAGGACTCTTCATCATGTTCACTTTACTCCTGCCTCGGCGAGCTCCCAAAACATGCGCCTGGCTGCAGAATCAGCAGCCTGTAAAACCAACCCATTGCCAACCCCCTGCTGCTTTCCTTCTGAGGCATTAACACGTGCTGTTGCTATTGCTATTAGCACCCAGGTTGGCGCATTCACCCTTGCAGAGGGAAAGGCACGCTTTTCGGGGCCAGGACCATTTCTCCAAAATTCCCAAGGGAACCCACCTTGGGTTTAACAAACGTCAACAAGGTGATGCGCAAAGATAGAGACCTTTGAGAAATCAGCAAGTTCTGACACATGGGGGTGGGTTCCCAACACGTTAAAGTCCAGTTAGCTATAAAGATAATTAAGCCCTGCTTCTCTAAATGCGGCTCTTCAATTGATTCCCTTGGCAAAACAAATGGCTGGGGGAATGCCCAAAGTTCCGCAACCCTTTATCATGGTGAGCTCGCTATACATCCAGCAGATGCTGTGCCCAGGGATTTGTATGCCTCCAAACTGTGTCTTTCCCCTTTTTCGAAGCACCCCAACGGCCAAACTTGCCCAAACTAAAAAGGTTAACCTTTCGGGGGCATGGCCACAAAGTCAACCACACTGGGAAAACCAAAAGGTCAAAAAGGCTGATTCGCTTTGCGCAAGTGAGCTTTCCCGTTTTGGGACTTCCCGGATGTTCGGTCTTGGAACTGGCAGGCTCCACCTGGGGGTTCAGATCCAAACCACCCACCCGGGGTTGCCTGCTTAAATTCGGCTTTTTTTTTCCCTCGGGACATCATTTTGGTGGACATCATTTGGGTGGGGATGGACCTGCCCACCACTTTTCAGAGGCTTCCCCAACTTACCCCTTCAAACTCCAAGCCACCTGGGGAAGTGTTCCTTTACAGACATATAGCCCATGTTACCCCAAAAGTCGAGAAAAGTGTTTGTGCTTTTAAGAGGCTTCGCATGGATCCACCCAAGAAGTTTTTTTTTCGGAACTCCAGTGACCCCTGATGGATTTTTGCTGCAGGGCGTGGCCAAACTCATCGCCCACTGGAAGCCGGAGGCCCAGAGGCGAGTTGAACGAATTGCGGGTGGATCCCCGAGACCCGAGACCCGAGACTCGAGTCGCTTCAGCAGACGGAATTGGAGGCGTGATTTCTTTTTTCCGATTGCTGAGTCCATGGAGCGGTTCGAGCCATGTCTTGAAAGTGGAACTGGTTTTCCGTGAAAATTGAAATGTCCCCCTTTTCATGGTCCGACCAGTTCCGCCTTTTCTTTTTTCTTTCTTTTTCCGGCATTCCTTCCCCCCATGTAAGAGCATGGGGATGAACCCCGAGTGATCCGCGAGTGATCCTCGAGAGTGATCCATCCCACCAGCCAGATCTCACTTGCCCCTCTTAGGCACCTGGAAACAAAAGGGACTACTAAATAATGCTGTCAAGTCAGGAAAACCGATCGGTTAAGCTTGATTCGCTTTGGGCAACTGAGAGATGGGTCTATTTTTGTCAGGGTCATAACACTTTTCGGGGACCACAAGGAAGCGGTGTCCATTTTGGGGTTGCAATGTCCGAAGCGCTGGTATGAATCCCTAGTTCCTTAGCTATGGCTGATGGGAAATCAGCCCCTCTTTGGGGTCCCAAAGTTGGAAAAAAGGACCTGTACAATCAGCCTGGTTCGCGGAAAAGAAAGGGGACCGGACCCCAAAAAAGCCGGAGGGGGAAAAAAAAAGGTAGGGCTGTTGGAAATGACCACTTCTGTGACACAACAGAAAAGGCTTCCCAAAGACTAAACCGATGCCCTTCTAAATCCCTTGATCCCAGAACCCTGCCCAAAGGGGAGCCAATTCTGGGAGCGTCTTTTCCGAGTTGGAGAAGTCGAGGTCCGCCACCGGCATCAGGCGGCGCCGGGGGCGGTAGCCCCGCGCGCGAGCGCGGGCCATCCACTTGCAAGGCCGCTCCATCTCCTAGCAAACTCGGCAACGGCTGCGGGGGTGGGGTGGGGGGGGAGATAAGGGGGTGGGGGGTTTCTTGCTGACTGTCAGCAGAGAATGAGACATGGAATGAACCCCAAGTGGCTTCCTTCAAGGGAATGCCTGTGGGTTCATTCCCTCATTCCCTGAGCACCAAAAAGTGTTCACAAGCCTTGGCCAACTGAAACGGACACAACCAAACAAAAACAACAAGCAGTGAAGGCCTTGGACGCGCTTTGATGAAGCTCACTGCAAAGCTCTCACCCTCCCTGCAAAAGCCACAAAACCGACCCAAAAACATCGAACAGTGAGGCTTCTAAGACACAAACATTCTTCGCTCACTTCCGCTTGAGGATTGCAACCAAAAAGTCTGAGCTGATAGGGATAAGTTTTGTCCTTAGGCATGGGTCAGTCGTTCGCCTGGGAGGTGCAAAAGGCTCCACGGTTTCGAAGTGAGTTGTTTACACTGGAACAGTTTGGATGCGCTTGCGCAAGCAATCTCCAGGGCTGCATCACTAAAACGGCTTACAAATAAAAAGTCAAAACATATTTCTTGGACGGGTACTACTTTACTTCCCTTGGTATGGGTTCTTGCAAAAGACGGGATATACCTATTGCAGACTACTCTAGCTGGCTGATTGGAACCTGGATTTGCGATCCGTTTGCTCGTTGGCAAGTCCCAGCCAGCTAGGAAACTTGCTGGATGCGCTTGTTGTGGGTTCCACATGGCAAACACCGCCATAGGTGCCTACTAAATCTTGGAAAAAAGGGAGAAAGGGTCGTAATTGACCCGACAAATGATCAGTTGAACAACTTTGAATGTAAATAAACCTTCCTCGTCCAAGAAGGATTTGGGCTTTTTTTTGGAGGCACCAAACAGAAACGGAAATACGTGGCTTGTGCAAGTATGTCACCCGGGAACCCAAACACACGCCTCCTTGATGTCGCATGTTTAGTCCACTGGGACCTGGTGGTTTATCAACTTGCGATGGGGGAACACCCTGCAACATGTGTTTTTGCTTTTACACAAATCCTCCTGCAAATGATGTCCACTAGAGCTTCCCAATTTGTTCATGCCCATGCTTCTGTCCCAAGCCGGGTTTTCTTCTGGACTGACCTCCCCCTTCTTTCCAGTTGGGCTAAGTGTTCAGAGGTGGCGTCCCTTTTGTCATCTTTACAAGTTTAGGTTTTAGTCAAGAAATACGGAAACCCAAACACTACACCAACCAGAAAGATCGGGGAAAAAAACAAAAAAAACTAAGTTGAACTACACTGCAGCTTTTCGCAGCTCCCAAGCCCATGACAAAAGCCCCTAATGAGGATGGTTGGTTGAGCCCCAAAATACATTACACAAATACATAACTAAACAAATAAATATACATATAAAAATACAACGGGAGTCGACACAAAGCCCATTGGCCAGCCCAGAACTATGCCCATCGCAACCGGTCTCACTCACTTAGCTCTCCTCGGGGTCGCCGTGGAGGTCGTAGCCGTAGTTCGAGCCATGCCCGTGCCTGTGACAACATCCCGCTAGCCCACCTTTTTCATAGATAGATAGATAGATAGATAGATAGATAGATAGATAGATAGATAGATACCGGAGAGGTCGAAGGGTTCCCGATTTTTTTCCGTAGTCAGTTTCAGTAGGGGAACCCTCCCCCAGAAAAGAAACGGTCAATGGCACTAATGGGGGACCTATAATTGGCATATGCCAAACTCGGCTTCCAGTTTTTTGCATTTCGGCCCCCTGGCAAAAAGAGAAAAACATGTCCCGTGATAGATTCCCTTTAAAACCAAAGGGAGAAATAAGCACATACTCTTCAGCAATGGAATTTGGATGTACATTAAAGCGGGTTGGGTGCCACCTGGGGGCAACATTTGGGGGGGTGGGGGGGCAACTAGGGGAGAGCAACAGGGTGGGGGGTTGGGGGGTGGATCCAGGCTCAGAGCTTGGCAAGCCAGTTGGTCAGGACTGTTTGCCTGATGCATGCTATTTCCCCAGGTTCGTACCCCAAAAAAGGGATGTCCTGGTAAATTCGAGCAAATCTCCTCCCTACGTGTCCGGAGGTCCAATTCGGCTGAAAAGCTCCGGAAATCAGAGATCCTTCCCCTTGGCGCAATGATCTGCTGTCGCCGGCCGGCGGATCTGAAAGCCTTGCAGTTTGGCGCCACTTCCAAACCCCGAAAGGTGGTTCTTCTAGCCGAGCAAGAACCCCTCGTGACTAGTGCTTCAGCCCGCAACTTCAGCAAGCAACAAAAGAAAACACCTCTACCAAGAGAGTGACTCGCATGGAGAATCCTCCTCCTTTCCTCAGCACTTGCTCTCGAATTGGACAAGTTGGAAAGGCTCCCCACACCGCAAAGGAAACCAGTACACAGAGGGGGGGGGGTCGCTTTACTGTCCCCCCCGCCTTGCCTGAAAATAAACCAGTGGGTGACTTCCATTTGCGTGGTCGGCCCTCCGGGAAAAATAATAATATGTCCAGTAGTGATAGGTTCCCTTTAAAACCAACAAGGAATAAACACAAACAAATAGGCAAATTTTCAACTGGAAGGTGATATGTTGCCAGGGTGCTTGGAATGGATCTGGATGGCAGCGTTGCTGAGGAAAGTCACCTGGCACATCACTCGGTTGCTGTTAACCCCTCAGACAAGTGTCTAACTGTTGGGGGTTCACTTCGGCAAGAAAAAGTTCTATAGTCCAAAGCTCCAGCTAACCCAACAGCAATCAAGTTTCGCTGAACCCGGCCCCCTAGATCTGCACATTTTCACACCCAGATATCCAAATACTCCCCGTGTATGAATTCTCATGTTTAATCCACTGGGACCAGGTGGTTTATCAACTGGGCTGTGTCCTCTTTTACAGTACATTCATCCTCATGCAGATGATGGTCCACCAAAGGGTACCCAACTGCCCTTTGGTGACACATCTCCCTTCAGACAAACTCTTTGACACCCTCCGCTAGGTAAAGCCGATTGGGTCTAGAGGGTTTGGGAAACCAGCGCCCCTTTTGGTTGGTGTGAAAAGGAAACCCACAGGACACCATCGCTCGGTTAGTTTTAAGAGGAAGCCAACAGGACAAACCGCCATCGGTTGGTTGGCGTCGAAAGGAAACCAACAGGAAACCCACCATCTAGCGGTTGGCTTTGCAAGTTGCACCTTTGGTTTTAGAAGGACACCCACAGCTTACCATGGAAAGGGCAACAAATCCTAATAACACAACCCATCCATATTTTGACAAATTACCTCTCAAAGCGGGTGTGCCAAAAGAGGAATCTGAACCCCAAAATAAACTGGTCCGTTTGTTTCCCTTAAACCCTTAAACACCAACCAAGGGGTCCACTATTTTGAGAAACGCCAGTTATGTCCCTCCCATGTGGACCCCTGTGCGCAGTTCGGCAAATGGTCGCCCTTCACGCTTGCAGGGATGAGGATGAGGATGAGGAGGAAGAAAATAAGGGAACCGTGCGAAGGGATGGGTGACGTCGCAACCCCCCTACTTTGCCTTGAGTACGCGCTTTGCGCCATGTACATAGCTGGTGCGTGACATGTGCAGACTACCCGAGCGACGTCATCAAAAATCGGATTTCCCAGACCAAGACAACTTACCCGTTCCAAGAGGGAGCAACATGACATGGCCATAGGTGTCCTTTTAGGGGAAATAGATGGCCCTGGTAGATGATTAAACCACCAGGTAAACCAGGGCTATCTATTTTTCTAGCAAAACAACCAAAAAGGACACCTATGGACATGGCTGTCAAACCCCCCCCCCCCCACCAAGTTGGCCCCCCTATCCCCAACCAGGGGCCATAGCGACCGAATCCGCGACCGAATCCCCAGCCAGACAAGGCCACGTGAGAGGTAAAGGAAATGCTTGGTGAGCTATGGTAGGCACTAGAAGCCATAGACCAGAAGCTTGAAAATTTGAAAGCCACAAGCCAACTTCCTGGAAGCAACAGGTACCAGGAGCTGCCCTCATGGAACTGGCCAGTTTGAAGAAGCCTTCGTCACGTTCATGAGGGATGTGGGGTTATGAACCCACTTCTCTCATCCATCCAGGCGCAGTTCTGGCGGGGGCAAAATGTTCTTCCAAAAACATCTCTAGTACGATGGGTACGGGAGCTTTTAATGAGGTCGTGTTAGTGCCGAATTTTGGAGGCGGTCATGCTGGTGGGATTTGGAGGGTGTTGGCTTCTGGGATAGGGTTTCCACAAATCAGGCCGCACCAAGGGTGGAGATACTGATCACATGGAGAGGATTGTTTGGTGCGGAATTGCCCCCAGTTGGACGATTCCTATGTGTTCCTCACTTGCCCAAAGTCAATCGACCTGTTGACCTTTTGGTCTCCAAATTTTGGCTCACTGGCCGACAGGGAACAGATCGACGCAAAAAATCATGTCTCAAAGAAAAAGTGACATTGTTGGATGGTTTTCTTGCAGCCCCCTACAAAAAATAAACAGAACCCAAGAACCACCGCCACCGCCACCCTCCCCTCCCCCCGTCCCCCCCCGCCCCCCCCCCTTCCCCCCCGCTTCCGCTTCCCCCCCCCCCCTCCCGTGCCATGGACACCTACAGCCTGTGTTGTAACAAAAAAAAAACAATTCCCTAAAATAAGGACCATACCCCAAAAAACACCATACCCCAAAATAAGGAGGTTGCAACATAAACCCCAAGTGTCCACCATACCCCCCCCCCCCCCTTCCCCTCCTTCCCCCTCCCCCTCCCCTCCCCCGCCCCCCCCACTGCGCTCGCTTACGCGCCTTCCAGGGAAAGCGCTGGCCCAGCTGGAACCCGTTCCAGCGCTTCTTGAGGCCCATGTTGAAGACCCCCACCTCGCCGCAGAAAAAAAAAAAAAACGAAAAAAGCGCCGGATGTTTTGGAAGCGGATGTTTTTTTGTGTGACAAGAACTTGGGCAGTCGTTCGGTGTTTGGTGCATCTTGTTGTTGAGGGTGTTTGTGGAATTGTTGTGGATTATGGGTTGCTTGTGTTGTCCTTGTCTTGTTTTGTTTGTCATTTGTTGTTGCTGTTTTGCTGCTCTGTTGTGTTTTTGGAATTGCTTGTGATTAGTTGTTTTGCTTGTGCTTTCCTTGTGTTGTCTTGTTTTGGTTGTGATTGGCTTTTGTGGTGTGGCTTGTGGTTGTTGTTGTCCTTTTCTTTATTTCTGTTCTCGTGTTGTTGCTCTCACGTTTTCGCAGCCTTTGTTTGCCATCCGGAAGGGGCAAACTGGATTTCCCCGAAAGCTTGCGATTTCCTTCTGGTTTCCATGGAAGCTGCCGCCCCAAGCAAGGGGAAGTGAGGCACCCCTGGAGAATGCAGGATTGATTTTGAAGAGACGGGCCCTATTGCAACCAATCCTTGAACCGTTTGGGCTTGCGTCCAACGCTACACGTCTTTGGAATGCACATGTGAGATTGACGTGCAGCCTGAGAAAAAAACCAGCACACTTTACTCGAAGTTGCATACGCAACTCCCTGGTTGTGGGTATTTGGCAACTTCCTCTAAACTGTCAAGCTGAAAAGAACTGCCCCACAAAATCCCCAGACCTCAGTTGGCATAACCGAAAAATGCACAACTCAGTGGTCGGATCCGGTTGATTCGCTTTGGACAGCTGAAAGCAGCCATCACCCCCGAGGAACCAATTGTCAGGGGCCCAAAAGGTGTGGCTTGCGCAACCCCCCCCCCCCCAAAACAAAAAAACAAAACACCAGGGGAATCGGTTGGTGGACATACACGGCTGAGCGGAACAAGACGCCAAGAAGAAGCCTCGGCTCTTTTTCCTGGAATCCGGTTGGTGGACACTCCCTCAAAACATGGAAGCTCCCCCAGTTGGCCGCGCCAAAGATGGATCCTGAGAGCTTCAATAAGAATCGCCTGGAGGGCCAATGCCCACCCACGTTTCACTTGGTCCTCCAGAGAGGTTAAAAAGGGTACCTTTTTCTGTAATCCAAAAAAAGGATGAGAAAGGGCATGACTGAACAAAACACAAAAACTTGGCTGCTGTTGAACCCCCCTGCAAAAAGTTTAATACAATTGGAGTTGGGTTGGAGCTGGCAGGAATTAAACCTGCAACCTCCCCTGCAAGGAGGGGCGCGCTGCCATTGTGCCACAGCCCCGTTGATCGAAGAGAACAAAGTCCTAAACACAAGGCGGTTCAGGTTCACCATGTTCGAGAGGACAAAGTTTGCTTAGCCACCCAGCCCTGCTCTCACACCCACCCTGCTCACACCTTGATTGCAACCAAAAAGTTGTCTAAAGATCCGTTACCCAATGGCAGTCAAGAAAAGATGCCTTCTCCACCTGGCACTGCTGCATGCGCTTCGTGAGGTTTCCGGTCAACTCCTCGCGCAAAGGAATGTCAACGACAACTTTGCATCGTTTTCATTTGGTTGCTGGTTCTTGGTTCTTGGGTGGTTGGTGGTTGGTGGTTGGTGGTTGGTGGTTGGTGGTTGGTGGTTGGTGGTTGGTTCTTGGTGGTTGGTGGTTGGTGGTTGGTGGTTGGTGGTTGGTGGTTGGTGGTTGGTGGTTGGTGGTTGGTTCTTGGTGGTTGGTGGTTGGTGGTTGGTGGTTGGTTCTTGGTTCTTGGTGGTTGGTGGTTGGTGGTTGGTGGTTGGTGGTTGGTGGTTGGTTCTTGGTGGTTGGTGGTTGGTGGTTGGTTGTTGGAGGTTGGTGGTTGGTGGTTGGTGGTTGGTTCTTGGTTCTTGGTTCTTGGTGGTTGGTGGTTGGTGGTTGGTGGTTCGTTGTTGCTTGTTGGTTGTTGCTTGTTGGTTGTTGCAGGTGATTCCCAAAATCAAATTGCACCCGAGCGGATGTCAAGCGGCTAATCCCCAAAAGGACTACTGCAAAACTTGCAAAGCTTGCTGGTTCTCAGGGAATGAGAGGTAGGAGTGACCCCAAAAGAAACCATCCCCCCGACTTTGTTTCCTTTGGACGCCAAATCGGGTCCGTTCCAAAAAAACAACGGACGGGGCCCTTTCAAAGGCTCCTCGGGCACAGGGATCGAATCGGCTTCCGCCGCTTGCTCTCTCTCGAGTCGGTGGAATTTTTGTTTCGCCAAGTAGAAACCCCTGGATCATAGGTGGCCTTTTGGAAAAATAGATGGCCCTCGTACATGGAATAAACCCCATATAAACCAGGAACCGCCCTCTTTTTTGCAAGCAAACCAACCAAAAAGGACACCTATGCCCTGGATCCTGGTCTTGAACATGACCCGTTTCAAGATACCAAAGCAAAGATGTCTGCCATGACTACGGTATCCCTCTTGGAGGCGACCACCTTAAAGCACTTTTATCAAAGGAAACGCATCTTGCAAAGGCCCAACAAGGTGCAAAGGCCCATGGCGAACCCCATGCCACAGGGAATTGTTGGCAAATACATTTTAAGGCATCGATCCGGGGGGCCCAGCACGACTGAACCAACTCCCATCCACATGGATCCATTTCTCCCTGAGTTTTAGTAGACTTGAGGAAAAACAAGTATGTGATACCTCCAAATGGTGGGTTCCATTTGCTTTTCTCCTTAATTCAACTATTTGAAGACACACCCATGGATATGGCTGTGGCTCAAAAAAAGTGGTACCAAAATGGCACCAAAAGGTAAATGGAACCAAAGCTTCTACCTGCAGTTTGCCCTGGCTCGTTCATTTTGAGCCGTACCCACATGTGACCCCCCCGAGCCCCGAGATTCCCTTTCAAAACGAGCCAAACAAAAGGGGGAGTCCCCCAAAAACGGGGGATCTGGGTTTTGACCCACACCCACTTGGCGACACAGTCATGTGCTGCATCTGTGACCATTTGGGTATGGGTCAAAACTTAACCACCAAAAAACCACAGGTGTTCGTCCTTGGCTCCATGTGGCAAGCCATTTTGGGCGCCCAGTTTTGACCCACGACCCTTGAAGATCTCGCGGAGACTCCTCCCAGGTGTTGGAGATGTCCGCATAGCCCCCGTCGATCCGCGAGCCCAGGCGCACCTGACGAGCTCGGGTGGTGGAAACAAACGACAAGAACGGCGCGCTCCAAGTGGAATGAGGGCGACTAGACTCGTCGACTGCCTAGGGCTCAATATGCTCCTGCTTTGAATCTTTTGGCCAGGGGTCAAAATCCAAATCGTACCCCCAGTGAACATCCAAAGATTGCCCAATCCCCGGGTGCACCGAAAGCCCCAAAATGGGATCCCAAAACGGTTTTGACCACCACGGCCATGTTGGGCCCGACCATGGGACTTGGGACTTTGTGCTCGCAGGCCGCCCTCAAACCAGCGGCTCCGCTTCCCGCCGCTCGGGCTCAACACATGTCAAACTGCACCGCAGCGCCAACTGGGCTCGGTTGCTTTCTGCGAAGCCCTGCTAAAAGTTCAACTGTTAGTGGTTTAATACGGAAAAAACAAAACCATTAGCTGGCAAAAAGTTAAAAAAAAATCCCAACATCCCTTGGCAAAACGCAGCAAAGGGACATCCGAGTAACTTGTCCAAAAGAAAACCACCAAGGTATGGGTACCTTGCTTGCCCCGGGGCCTGGAAACAACGTGGGTGTCTTTCTTGGGTGCCACGTTGCTTGGCGGCCCGGGGAACCAAAAGGAAAAGACCCCTTGACATGAGACACCCAGCTGCACTCAAATATCAGCCAATCTGGGCTGGACAGAACTTGACTCTTGGAACTGTAGGAAATTTCCAAAAAGGCAATCGCATGGAAATAAAAATAATTACCGGCCCGCCCAACAACCACAGCAACTTTCGAAAGCGCCTCGGTGACAAGTTCCCGGGACATCTCGTTCTGAACTGTCAACTTGAGGCCCCCCACCTGGTCGAGAGAAAGGACAGATTCGCGCGCGGACCATGTTCGCCCAGCAGCTGCGACGGAGGTTTGAGCTCGCAAAGCGTGCGGCCATTTTGTTTGACCTTTGACACACAGGTGCGTCAGTGGCATCTCGCAAGTCGCAAAGCTGCTTGTAGGCTTGAAGATTCGTCCAGCAGGGCCGGATGGTTTTGTCTTGGCAAAAGAAACCCCGAGAAATATCCAGAGCTGTGAAAAGGGCTGACTGATTTCGAGGCATCCACAAGTGCGGACCTTTTTCAACCTCTAAAGTGAGGTCATGGCGCTAGATTTAGACGGGGCTTCCTTGGGTGTTGTCGGCTTCTTGCGCGTCACAGGTGTTTGGAGGGTCCATCTTGTCCCCGACCATCCCTGAATCTTGTCAAATATGCTTCTCAAAATTGACACCTCCAGGTGGTGGGGTTCCTTGCTGACACTCTCTTCAAAACCATCCGTAGCAAAGGAGGCACCTGGTCCTCACGATAGTTTCAGCTTCCCCCTCATTGGTGTTGCGAACTAATGGTTTGGGGATTTGAACCCCTGATTCTTGCAAATAAATGGGACACCATCCCGGAACACCACCAAAACAGAGTGCACCACTACTCTACCCCACTTCTCCCTCCACCCGGAGAAAAAAAAAAAGAAAGTACCCACTACTCCACTATTGGGCATGCTGACATTTTATTGTGAGAACAACCTATACTTCCGGGTGCGTCTCAAAGGAATCGCAGCCCTTAGCCTTCTAAAGGAAAAAAACGGGACGCCACCTCGAAACCCCCGCGATGCTTCCCCCCCCCCCGGCAAAGACAAAATGAGGGCCGGTGCCATAGGTGTCCTTTTGGGGCAAATAGACGGGTTTCCCTGGTAGATGATGAAACCACCAGGTAAACCAGGAATCGAAACCCATCTATTTTTCGAGCAAAACCACCAAAAAGGGAGCCGCCTATGGCACCGGCCCGCCCTCCATCCCGGTCCATCCCGCGTCCCGTGCCCGGAGTGCCATGCCACTGAAATGCCGTGAGAGCCCGGAGCGCCCCTAGGTCCTCCAGTTGGGTACCCGATTTCTTGTCGCCGTCTATTTGAGTAAGGTTCCTCCCTCACCAAAAAAGAAGCAGTGGTCAGAGCGGCACCAATTGCTGGGGGACCAAATGGCGAGAAAGAGATGGGAGATGACAAAAAACAGCTCTTGAGCCTTCTCTCCGCCTCTCCGCTTCAAGGATCTCACAGCCACCTTTGGAGACCGCGATTGACCCACTGGACCTCTCCCGGAGTGCCAGCGATTGACCTCCTCCGGACGTCTCCCGCAAAACGCGCCTGGCTCATGACCAGCGTCCGGTTCTTCCCCGGCAGCTTCAGGGAGGAGAGGTCCACGGAGCCCAGTCGCTGGCTGGGGTCGCCTCACAACCCGCGAAACCAGCGGAGCGAGCGACCAGGGGCCGCTTTTGGTGGAGACCTGGGGATTTGGGGCAGGGCGAAGATTGCTGGAGTGAATCCAGCTGGCTAGTTTTTTGAGAAAGGGATTTGCAGGTTGGTTCCAAGGGAAACCAAACGCAAACAACTACCATGCCGCTAACCGCCAACCAGAACAGAAGGAAACAGGGGTAGCTGGGATGGTGTTGAAAGTTGAAAGACCAATGTCCACACACTGCGCTTACCAAAAACGGGTAAGAAAAAATCGCTTGCCTCCAGTCTCTCTCTGGGTTGCCCCTATCCGGACAAATGACAAAGGACCCCACGACCCCACTCTCTTGGATCCACTCACCTGTATAATGCTAACCCCGGATTAATAAACCCCTGGTTGATTTTGATTGGGGGGTGTCCCCGTTTAGTGGTTGGATTCATCACTTTTGGAGAGAACACCCCCCCTAATAGTGGGACGGGTTTATGAATCCTGGGTCAACATTAGTAGGTAAGCCAGACTTTGCCACCCTTAAAAACCCAACCGAACTCTTAGCGAAGGGCTCCTACAAGGGCGAAACACCTGAGACCCACTGGGTCTAACATCTGGCCTGTTTCACGTTTCTCCCCAAGATGTTTTTCTTGAAGCGCTCCGGGCGGATTTTTGTTCAGCGGCGCCCCGCCTTTCAACTCCATGAGGCCCATCTCCGTCAAGAAGGTCTCGCAGGAGTCCTGAAGGACTGCAAATCTTCCATTTGGCTGTGGGAAAATATGGAATCCAGTGGACACATGGACCATGCGGTCCAATTCCTGGTGGTTTAATGTTGACCCATACCCATTTTTTGTTCGCCCCCTGGAAAAAAAACAGGGTTCGTGTCCATTGCCGGGTTTTGAAATAGATTTTTTTTGGCAAAAAAAAAAACAGGGGAAAACGCAAAAGTAGGGTTTGTGTCCAATGATCTCAGGCAATTGGAAGGAATGACCATTTTGGGCCTGGGAGGAGGAGGAGGAGGAGGAGGAGGAGGGGAGGAGGAGGAGGAGATGGGGGGAGGAAGGAGGAGGAGTGTTCCGGGTGGTTTCCCGCTTGCCCTCTACAAGACTCAGGGGGTTCAAATCCAAATCCACCAATTGGAGGGTGACCTGCAAAATGGACCCCCCAAAAAAATCCAGGAGTTTCTTGCTGGTGATCATCAAGTTCAGCAAATTCTCCGATGTGCCCACTTGTTCGTGGTCCTTTAAAAGCCCCCAAAACGGGGACCGTCAAGGGTGTCTTCTTCGAAGGTATGCTTTTGGTGGTTTTAAAGGGGGGTCACCCTTTACAAAAAGACGGACCCGGTCTGCTTGCACCTGTGGTTTTTATGAACCTATGGATGCTTTTAAGACCCTCCTTGGGTCTCTCTCTCTCTCTCTCTTGTTGGCTGCAGGTTCCGCGGACCCAGGAGAGAAGGCCGTTTGCAAAACGAAGGGTCAGGATGGGGCAATGCCAAAGAGGCCACTCCAAGGCCAAGGCCGAGTGAATTCAGAACTTGGAGCTAGGAACCCGTCCTTCAGCTTAGCAAGCCTCGCTGGCTCCTTAGGCACCTGGAAATCAAAAAGTGATAACTTTTTTGGCAGCCTGCTCCACTAAAAATACACCAAGCTTGCCCCTTAAAACTCCAAGCCCTGGGGAAGTGAATCTTTTACAGACATATAGCCCATGTTACCCAAAAAGTTGAAAAGTTGTGTTTTTAAGAGGTAAGCAAGGGAACACCAAGAGGTGAGATCGATTCGCTTTGAACAACTAGGCCCGCCAGAGAGGTTCGAAGAAGGGTACCAACCTTTTTCGGTCTTGTCGATTTTAGGAGGGGAAGCCTCCCATCCAAAAAAGTAGCAGTGGTCAGAGCGGGCACCAATTGCTGGGGGACCAAATGGCTGAGAGAAAGAGAAAGGAGATGACAGGGAGCTGACCAGGGAGCTGACCAGCTCTTAACCCTTCTCTCCGCTTCAAGGATCTGCAGACCTAAGCATGACCCAGGGAAAGTGGCTTGAACCACTCACTTGACACAAGGACATGGAAATCAGAGGTAAGAATTCACCTTTTGGGGGCATGAGAGAAACATGTGAAACCCAAACAGGGGAAACCCAGATCGTTAAAAGCTTGGCTCTGCGCAAGTGAGAGCAAGCTTCAGAATCTCTTTTGGAACCCTGCGCTGATTTTTACCTTTCTGAATCCAGGGGCTGGCTGAGGTGGTTTGCCGGCCATGACGATGTCCAGAAGCTTCTTCCAGTTGTTGCATTTGTTGCCGATCTTGGATGTGGCGCCGAGTCTGGATCTCTGGATGCAAGCTTTGAATGGGTGGTCTTTTTTGAGTCGGAACCCTCCAAAGGGTGGGTTCCTCTTTGGCTCCCTTTACAACAAGCCAAAAAATAGGCGGATGCCCCATTGAAGTGTCATTTAACAACACCATTTCGTTGGCACCCTCGAAAAAGATACACCCAAATCTGCCAAACAGCCCGAAACACCCTATGCAGGTGCGGAGGTCCGACGAACAATTTATGCAACTTCTTCGGCGCAATGGGTTTTCATGATCGAAACTCTGATTGAACTTGGACGTGTCAATGGGGAAATGGCGTCAGCACAACGAGGTATAGAGAGAGACACAAGTATCTTGGCCATCATTTGTGTGGAGAGCCTGGAATATGAGCATTGGACGTCAAAAAGGGTTCGAATGCAAGCTTCTCGCGTTAACCCTGGACTTAGCCCTTGGACGAAAGCACCCATACACTTTCGCAACTGGCTTGTCAAGATGTCTGGCCCTCGCACTGCCTGAGATGGACAGCTGCGAAATATGGCAGAACGACGACTGACTGCCTTTGTTCGGCGTGATTTTCGATGCCGCCACCTCCCAAATCAGACTGGGTTTGTTTCATTTGTCATTTTGATCTTTCTTGAACAAATCAAAATAACAAAGCGCAGGGGGGGGGGGGGGGTTTAACCCACAAATCCTGGCCCTTTCAAACGCTCAAAGGTGGGTCAGCCATGCCCACACTCGGGGTTGAACCGCACCCTGGTGTCTGGCTTTGTGCACAACCTTTACATCATTCCAATCCTCCGATGGGTGCGTCATTTTTTTTGTTCTCGGGGTACCCCTTAGGTCCACTGTTGACAAACCGAGAGGCCGCCGAAACCCATTTTGGGGGGTTCCGCATAGAGGATTGCCCACACCCAAATCCTCCATTTGCGTTTTCGCCCCCTCAAAAGAAAAAACTATGAGAACAGATGTATGTCCAATAAATAGTGCAGTCCATTCCTTTCAAGAACCAAGAGGGGAAAGAGCACATATGAAAACCAATTGGAAGGACTAGACCTCAAAATGGACCGAGAAACCGGCCTCGCTCGCTTCAACTCGCTCGCTTAGTCGAGGCACCGGGGGGCAGGGCCCCGAGTAGCCCGCGATGTGGCGGGCCATTCGCTTCACGGCTCCGCCCTTCGCGGCGTTGGAGACCGTACTGACCGCGCCCTCGCGGCGGGAACGGCTCGTGGGAAACCGGGAGAAAAAGGAGACGGAAAATCCCCCCGTATCAGCAAGTCAGCAACATCCCAGGCATGCCACTAGGTAGCTTGGGCGTTTTTGCTTTTGGGATTGCTTACTATACGGGTGGATTGAAGCATGGGGACGCTTTTCCCTACATGTCCCCAACGTCATCCCAAAGGAGACTAAGACCCTGGGCGATGTTTACAGGGGGACGATATAGGCACCCCGGGAACCTACTGGGTGCGTTGGATATGCCCCACTCATAAAGCTGCCCCTACCGTCCCCCAACCACAACTTGAGGTTTGGTCGATTTTATTCTTCTGCAAGGTGCCTCTTTACTGTTCTTGCCCTGACTGGAAGTTACGTATTCACTATTGCCCTTTATTCGTCCGAAAAAAAGGAGGATGAGTGTAGAAATTAAGGACCGGCGAGCAGTGAGCACAAGATAGCACCATATATATATATATACACACCTGTACATAATAATAATCATACACATATACATAACAATAATAATAATAATTAGTACTAATAATATTAAATAATAATGATAATAGTGACAAGACAAATGATAACACTATTAATGAGAGTATATTTATATATGTATACATGGTGTCTTTTCTGAGGGTGCCCTTTTGGGATTGGTTTTAAAGGAACACCTAGAAAAACACCAACAATTTTGTGCACCCGCCTTTTGGAGACAAACCCATATATCTATATATGTATATATATATATACACACATAGATATGTAATCAATGCTTCGTGTTGACCCGCTAATCTTAATAGAGGGGCCCCGCGAGGCTTCATCACAGAGGTCACAACTTGAAAGGATCGCTTGTCATTGCTTCCCCAGCGCAGTCGCTACACACGGGGTGTGGCTCCAAAAGAGGCATCGGCCCGAAATGGCTGGCCCTGGCAAATGGACAAGTCGACCAACACCTGCGGCGGTTTCTGGCTCATAAACTTTGAGCCACACCCATTATTATTACCCTACCACCCTTTTCACGTGGAACCAGACAGGGGCCCGGTCCCTGAAGGAAAATGGTCCAAACCAGGACCCCCCCCCCAAACGTCAGGTTCCATGTGAAAAGGGCGGGGGGGGGGCTTATTCGCACTGCTTGGGGTGGTCGTGAGTTGGTTCCTCAGGTGATAACCACTTTTTTTCAGTCCCCAAAGTGGAGGTGACCCCATCATAAGTGGGGTAAAACCCAGAAATAGCCACCTACGACCTCCAAGGTGGCCGTGTTTTGACGTGTTCCCTCCCGCAGATCCCGGCTCCGCGCCTTCATCATGTTCCAGGTCCCGGACAGGACCTTCCTGACCTGAAAGGCAGCGGTTCAGAGGATCCGCTTCAGAGGTCTCTCGAGGCATTTGGGCCAGAAAAACGGGATCGCCCCAGTCAGCTGACGGAAAACGGATCCAACAAACCGGACGCAAGGCAGTCGGATGCATGGCGACCGAGGGGTTTCCAAGCCGCACTCTACAAAGCCCAAAGGCCACGATATCGTAGGTCCTCCAGATTTGAGAGGGTAGAACAAGGGTGCCAACTTTTTTCTGTCGTCCATTGTAGTAGGGAATGCCCCTCCCCCCAAAAAACAGGGTGAGGAAGGGCACCAATTGCTGGGGGACCTAGTATTTGCTTGCCACTCAGATGGTCACTGCTGGGGGAACAGGGGTGAGAGGGCACCTGGCTGGGGGACCAAAATCCCCAAGTCAACCACCTTCACGGCGGTCTTCGCTCATCCCGGATCGGTGGCATCTCCGCCCTCGTGTTTTTTGGCAGATGATCTTCGGCCGGCTTCCTCCAAAGGCTTTCAGGCACCCTCAAACAATAACCCCCCCCCCACCCCCACCGCCCCACCCAAAAAACAAGAAAGAACAAGAAAGAACAAGAGACATGCCCTCCAAACCGCAAGGGAAAAAGGAAGCCTCCAAAAAAACACTGCCTGGGTCTTCTTCACCGGCGGGCCTTTGGCCTCTCTAATTAGCACCCTGTGCACTTGGAACCCACCAGTTCCTTTGAAAGGAACATAGTCCTCCATTTGCTTAAGTCCCCCCGGACCCCCCAAGAAAACACACACACACACACACACACATATTTCCAGCAGTGATAGATTCCCTTCAAAACCAACAGGGGGAAATAACAACACATGCTTCACCAAATGGAAGTAGGACTCCCAGCCCGAAACGTCCACCTTTTCGGTGAAAGCCTTCGGCTTGCCGGCCAAGGGGCCTTGCCACGCTTCACTGGTGAAGAGGCCAATGTGTCGCCCTCGTTCACCATGCAGGAGTAGCTCTGCACCGCGTTTTCTGGGAAGGCTTGGAAGACACTCGACAGAGTTTCGCAACCAAAGCTTGGTTGCGAAATCTGCGAAGCCCTGCTAAGAGTTTAACTCGTGGCTTAATAGAAAACCGTTAGTGGCAAAAAGTTAAAGTCCTAACATCCCCTGGCAAAATGCACCAAAGAAAGGGCTTGGTTCCAAAAACCATGTTGATCCTTGTGCAAAGCTATCCCAAAGATGCCGAAATGTTCAAAGCCGAAGCATGCCTCACAATCTTCTCATCCGAATGAATTACAGTATCACTCCACCAATCGGGGTGCGTTCGCGTAACATCTACAAATTGAAAACCCAAGGCCGCCGAAAAACACACCCAACTCGACTGCCCCGTTTTTATTGTTTTGCTTTTGGATGCCCCGCTTGGGCGCCTCAAAGCCCAAATGGCCAGGTCTTGGTTGACGTTGAAAGGGGAGCAACTATTTAAATCTTAGAAGTTAAGTGGTTGGATTTCAACAACTAGACCACAATAAGCAAAAATGTAAAAAAAAAAAAAGGAGAAAACACAGAAAAACAAAGTTCCCCAACAGCAACCATGAGTTTTTTTTGTGAGATTGCAAGGGCTCGTGGAAAACAACTTGTTGAGTCGCAAAAGGTTTTCAGCGTGAGACATTGAGTCATAGGTAAGGTGGCAGTCCGAAAAACGCCAAGAGAAGTCCAGCAACTCATGAGCTTTGAGGACATTGGGTTGATCTGGGCCATCCTTCCCGGACGTCTCAGTGGAGAACCAAGTCATTTGGGGTTTCCTTGGAGTAGCAGCTACCCGTTTTTGTTTCTTCTTGGTGGTCTATTTTAGTAGGGGAACCCTCCCCCCCAAAAAAGGTGAGAAAGGGCACTGGGGGACCTAGGCAGAGTCCTCCGGAAAAATGACTCGAAGTTGACAATTACATATCACTCCATCCAATGAAAATGAGGGGGAATTGCATTGGTATGCACTCATTGCCTTAACTCACCAAGGAATTCAGCATTCCAGCTGTTGAGCTCGTTCAACCCCACGGTCGGTGAGCTCGCTATACTTAATGCGGATCTAAGTTGCGGCAAGTGCAAACTCTTGTGATACGAGTGTGGCTCAAAAATCGGGTCCAAAATGGAACTCTGGTAAAAGTAGACCCAAACCTGCGGTCGCGTGGCTCTTAAAATTTGAGCCAGCCCCATACCACTGGAAGGTCTTCTCAATTGTTATCTCTTCCTTCAAGGGTTAACCTTCCCCTGGCAAGCAGCAAAGTCTGGTCCGCTTGAGAGCTGAAAGACACCACGCAAACCAGACAGAAACTAAGACAACAACAACAACAACAACAACAACAACAACAACAACAGCAGCAGCAGCAGCAGCAGCAGCAACAACAACACCAACACCAACACCAACACCAACACCAACACCAACACCAACACCAACACCAACACCAACACCAACACCAACACCAACACCAACACCAACACCCAACACCAACACCAACACCAACACCAACACCAACACCAACACCAACACCAACACCAACACCAACACCAACACCAAACAACAACAACAACAACAACAACAACAACAACAACAACAACAACAACAACAACAACAACAACAACAACAACAACAACAACAACAACAACAACAACAACAACAACAACAACAACAACAACAACAACAACAACAACAACAACAACAACAACAACAACAACAACAACAACAACAACAACAACAACAACAACAACAACAACAACAACAACAACAACAACAACAACAACAACAACAACAACAACAACAACAACAACAACAACAACAACAACAACAACAACAACGCTTCGATGGGCTCTCACCGCGCGGTTTTTCGGTCCAGAGTTTTCTGTCTGTTCAATGCGTCTTGGGGTTTTTACGCCCACAGACGCTGCTTGTTTTCATCGATGTTCAAATATGCCCTTGGGGCAATGATGATAATGTGTGCGTGAACGTGGATGCTGATCAAGTGGCAGGCATGCACGCAATGATGATAATGTGTGCGTGAACGCGGATGCTGATCATGTGGCAGGCATGCACGCAACGATGATAATGTGTGCGTGAACGTGGGCGCTGATCATGTGGCAGGCATGCACGCAATGATGATAATGCGTGCGTGAACGTGGATGCTGATCATGTGGCAGACATGCACGCAACGATGATAATGTGTGCGTGAACGTGGATGCTGATCATGTGGCAGGCATGCACGCAACGATGATAATGTGCGCGTGAACGTGGATGCTGATCATGTGGCAGGCATGTACGCAATGATGATAATGTGTGCAATGATGATAATGCGCGCATGCACGCAACGATGATAATGTGTGCAATGATGATAATGTGTGCGTGAACGTGGATGCTGATCATGTGGCAGGCACGCACGCAATGATGATAATGTGTGCAATGATGATAATGTGTGCATGCACGCAATGATGATAATGCGTGCGTCAATGTGGGTGCTTATCATGTGGCAGGCGTGCGCTCAGTCATGAAAGTGTGCCCGTGAACGCAACATACGCCCACTGCTCCAAACCCGCGCGCAGGTCGTCAAAAATGGCCCTGAAACCCTTGTTTACAGTGGGAAACGAAACGCGAAAAGCGCGCGGAAACACCCCATCGGAGGGAACAACAACAACAACAACAACAACAACAACAACAACAACAACAACAACAACAACAACAACAACAACAACAACAACAACAACAACAACAACAACAACAACAACAACAACAACAACAACAACAACAACAACAACAACAACAACAACAACAACAACAACAACAACAACAACAACAACAACAACAACAACAACAACAACAACAACAACAACAACAACAACAACAACAACAACAACAACAACAACAACAACAACAACAACAACAACAACAACAACAACAACAACAACAACAACAACAACAACAACAACAACAACAACAACAACAACAACAACAACAACAAACAACAACAACAACAACAACAACAACAAACAACAACAACAACAACAACAACAACAACAACAACAACAACAACAACAACAACAACAACAACAACAACGACAACACGACAACGACAACGACAACGACAACGACAACGACAACGACAACGACAACGACAACGACAACGACAACGACAACGACAACGACAACGACAACGACAACGACAACGACAACGACAACGACAACGACAACGACAACGACAACGACAACGACAACGACAACGACAACGACAACGACAACGACAACGACAACGACAACGACAACGACAACGACAACGACAACGACAACGACAACGACAACGACAACGACAACGACAACAACAACAACAACAACAACAACAACAACAACAACAACAACAACAACAACAACAACAACAACAACAACAACAACAACAACAACAACACGTCCGCAGAGGGCTGTGGGAAATGACCACGGTGATACAACAAAAAGGGCTTCCAAAGTTTAACCCCCCATTTCAAGGGGGAGATCCTTTTGCAGGTATCACAGAAGTGGGGGAAATCTCCGAGTGATCCCACCCAACCCAGCATCCGCAAGGTTCAACGAGAAGCGACCGGGCCGAGTGGTTTTTTCCCTAAGGCGGGGTTTCCGCAGGGCTGGCCCAGTATCAGCAGCCTCACTTCTTGGCTGGAATTAGGGCCCCCAGCCAAAAAATATATGTTTTTGCCTGGCTCATGGAAAACCAAGGTGCACCCAAAAAAAACAAAAAAGAAGGAACAAACAGGGGGGGGGAACTAATTCTAGGGAAGACTGGGCCCGGGACTTGCCCCACCCTAACAGCACCCATTTTGAGCCAACCCCCCCCACCCAGCAGCCCAAAGTCGGGCCCAGCAGCCTGGATCTCAGCCCGAAATCAAGCCCGAGCTCCACTTCAAGACCCACCCGGCTGCTTGGTTGCAGGTGACCCACCCCCCGGCAAAAAGTGGATCACTTTTTGGCGGGGTTGGTGGAAAACCCAACTTGACTTCAACCAAAGAGTTGTGAAAGTCTGATGATCCGTTGCCCAATAGCAGTCAGGAAGGAAGATCTAAGCCAGCCTAACCTCCCTTAACTGAAGCCAGCCCCCAGCAACTCCCAATTGCCTCCCAGTCAGAGCCAATAAACAACTCCCGGGCCAGTTGAGGCTGGTGATGCTGGGGATGCGGCAAGCCAACCAACCAACCATCCATCCAACCAAGCAACCAACCAAACCAACCCAGCCCTAGTCAAAAATCCCAGCCCTAGGGAAAAAAACAAAACGCTGGATCCATCAGAAAGGGGCCCAGCAAAAACTGCCGAATTCGCCGGATCTGCGCGGTGCAACAGAGCCACGGATTGTCGTTAGCACCGCGTCCGATTGCAGGGGCGCAGTGCTAGTTGAGGAACTGCCACTCTCCTGGGATCACACGTGATGTTTTCTCATCCTTCTCTTCTTTCTCACCCTCTTCTCTTTCTCTTCGTCTCTTTTCTTGTCTCTTTTGTCTTGCTATTTGAGTTGTGTGCTTCATGTTGTGAACATTTGTCTGCTTGCTTGCCATGTTCATTGAATTTGCACACAAACTCATGAAACAAGTGGCCTACCGTTTAGGCCTCGGTGTGGCTCCCTGCAACGAAATTGGCCACCATGCCTTGGATAGATACCCGCAGGTCAGGCACGTCATGCTGTTGATCATTACTTAGGTCCGCCAGTAGAGAGGTTAGACTCAGGGTACCCGATGTTCTTTGTTCTGGTTTGTCTATTTTAGTACCCCTCCCCCCCAAAAAAAAGAGAAGGTAAAAGGGCACTACTGGGGGACCCAGTTTCGCACCACCCGCGAACCCGGAATGATTCGATTCCCCTGCAACTCTGCCAACGTCCCAGGGCTTCAAAGTGGTGCAGGATATCGCTCATCCACAGTATGAAACCCAAAATCGGTAATGGGCAACTAAGCATAAGATTCCTGGGGTCACCGGATTCTTCCTTCAAAAGTTGCAGTTTACTGGCAAGGTCCAACAAAACTGCCACTCTTGGAGGTCCAAAAAGAAGGGATTGAGGGACCCCTGCATGAACCAAAGGTTGACGCAGGTTGTCTTCGTTCCGATTGCAAAGGCGAAGCAGGGGGTCGTTTCCTGCACAGCATGAGTAACCAATGCGGAGATGTCAGCAGCGGAATCAGTCGTTGCCAAATGGGTGAATGAGGTGGGATGCCACCTCTCGTTGCGTATTCGGCTTATTACTCTGGTGCGCTGAACTACCCCGTGCGACGGAGCAGCGCACAGCCTAACACAGCCAAACCCGCGCCTCCTCGTCATGGGCGGCCGTCTCCTGGAGAAAAAAGACACGCGCAAGATGAAATGAGCTCGCAGGGTTGGTTGCATATATGTATGACATGTATACATATACATATACATATACATATACATATACATATACATATATATATATATACATATGCATATGCATGTATATGTACACGTATATGCTTGTGTACATAGATCTATCTATATATATAATATATACTTAAAATGTATATAGTTTTTAGATTTTTGTTTTTTTAATGTACACAAAATGTCAATGGCGGCTGTCGCAGACCTTTGGGGCGCCTAACCTATGGGCTTGTCCCCCAAGTTTAAGCAAACTCACTCCGCCTCACAAAAAGGAGATCACCCGCTCCACATGGGATGGACTTTCGTCCAAAAGCTTCCCCCTTAAAACTCCAAGCCCTGGGGAAGTTAATCGTTTACAGACATATAGCCCATGTTACCCAAAAAGTTGAGAAAAGTTGTGTTTTAAGAGGCAAGAAAGCCATCCCATCTGGAGAAGATCAAGCTCGGGCCCAACCCGAGAGAACGCGCGATGAACTCAGGCCCAACAAAGCCCACGCTGCACGTGCCTAGGGTGAGCCCCATGCCCCGTCACTTAGGGCTGCCAGGCTTCAGAGCAAACAAGCAGCGCACTTTGGCAAAACCGAGAAAACCGAAAGTGCACATGCCTCATCGTATCAGATCAACTGCCAATCAAACAAATGCAAAGACAAAACAAGACGATCAACTTTCAGATACAATATGGGGGTGTGCCTTTTTGCTAGGGGACCCTGCAAAATGGATGTGCGTTTTTTCCCCCAACTATCCCCAACTCAAAAGATGACTCCCAAATGTGCTGGTGCGCAGTGGGTGATCCCACCTACATTTCTCCTTTCAGAGGGGGGTACCAACAAACAACAAGGATACCAACTCAAACGAAAGACAGGTTTCCCTTTAAAGCAACAAAAGAGGGGGTACCACCTGTAAATCACAAAAACAAAGGTGCAAACTCAAGAAGACAAGCCTCCCTGGTACCCACTTGCCCAATGGACCTAGGAAGAAAAGGTTCCCTTTCTGGGACCTTTACTAAAAGTGGTTGACAAAGATGGGAAACCAATGAAATTAAAAGCTCGGCTTTAAACAGAGAAAAAGAACAGGGGGCCAGAATGTTGACCCCAGATTCATCCACCCCAGTTTATTCATAGGGGTTTGGCGGGGAATTATCGCTTTTGGCGGGGAACACTGGGGTTGATTAACTAGGTTTTCGAGCAGAGAGGTTAGAATAAGGGTACCAACTATTTTAGTAGGGGAACCCTCCCAACCAAAAAAAAAGGTGAGAAAGGGCACCTAGTTGGGGGACCAAGACTGAGAGAAAGAGATGGGAGCGATGCTTCCATTTACCAGGTTTCCTTTTTGGGCACCTATTTTTGACCCACAGCCATATGGCCAAAACCGCGTACCCCCACTGAACATCCGATTCAATCCCCCCTAAAATAGGTTCCAAAATGGGTGGTGCACATATCCCAAAATGGGATCCCATTGGCTTGGAACCATGGCCATAACTCACTTCCCAAGTTGACTGGCCAAAAAAAGCTTGAACTTTTCATTTACCACTAAAATGGTCTTTCCAAAAAGTTTCAAGTCCACCAACTCAGGAAGTGAGATAAATGGCCTCCACCCAAAACTTCTTGGCCCAAAACCGCCTCGAGGCTCGGCGACTCGAGGCTCCACGACTCGAAGCTCGGAGAGCGCCTCCGCCTGCGGCTCGGCGGCCTGGCCCAGGGCCTTCCAGCGCCCCGCCTCCGTGTGGAGCTCCAGGTCCTTCGAAGCGCGAGCGAGCGGCGAGCCGATTTTTGGCGCCGATGTTTTTTTTTTTTTAAAACTCGAGCGAACATGAACATGGATTCCTTTGAAACATCTGAGGCTGTGAAACATCTGAAGTGAAATATGAGGATCTAATTTTGGCTGGGTCTAAGATGGGGGTCAGGGAAACAAGTATAAACATGGTACATGTCACCTTTAGGATCCTCACACAAAGCTCCGAGCGAAGCTGCGAGCCGATCGAGTCTGTGTTTGGGTCGGCTCCCAAAACACGCCGCCTCTTTGTTCCTTGACGCTGACCTAAGGCACACCCAGTGGTTGAACTGTTTGCCCAAGGAATCACCCATGGTTGGTAGAGATTGGACAACTTTGCGGGGCAAACCCAGGAACACAAAGAGTCAGAGGCATCCAAGCCAATAGCAGGGAAAGGTTGCACGCTTCGAAACGAGGCGAGATCAAAGGCGCCGTCAAGCAAATTTACCACCCAACCCAGCAGCATTCAGCATAAACCCTTCCTAGGCCGCCTTAAATCGACGGAAGGGGTGGTTCGCTCACCCCTTGCCAAAAGTTGCCACTTGTGGGACATGTCGCTGGGAATTGAATCAACCAAACATCGGTTCGCTTAAGTCTACAAAATCAGGACATCAGGAAAGCTTCCGCAACAGAATCGGACCCTTTTCCTTCGGGTGATTTTTCTTGAAATCCCTCGCTTGGTGGGCCTAGAGGTCGCAGCCTCGAGGCGCAAGTGGCAGCCTCAGTGGCCCTTCCTTCGCTCCAGAGATCATGTGAGTAGCCAAAGACCCCCCCCACCCCAGCCACAGCCCACAAAAGTTCGGCAACCAACTTAGAAAATGAGCACGCTGGTTGCGAGCGTGGCTAACTGATCAGCTTCCCTCCATGTCGTTTGGATCAATGGTTTGGGGATGTTTGGGGATGGCGTCCAATTGGCCCACCACCACTACGTCCTCCAGATTTGAGAGCTTAGACTAAGTCGGTACCCGACTTTTTTTCTGTAGTCTGTTTTGGTAGGGGTAAAAGGGCATTACTGGGGTCCGAGACTAATTAAGGTCCCAGAGACTTACATCGATCCAATGAATCATGCTCGCTTTCAATGTAAAGGTTCCTTGTTTTTTGAGAGACCCCATGTGGGTATGAGTTCTTGTTGGGCATGGCTGAAATTGGCATTTACGTCCACCAACCAAGATTGAGGAGCGAGTGTAAAGCTAGTAAACCTCACTTCCGGATTTCTGGATGGCTGTTCGCGCTTTGTTCAGCCAATCCACTCAAGCGAGCATTGGGCCCACTAGCGAACACCTGATCACTGCTTAATTCCTTTACCATGCATTTAGCTCAGGCCGACAAAAAACGTGCCCGCTCTAAGGTTCCAGTTTCGAGTAAACATGAAGGGACCAAGCAAACTTTTGCTGACTGACAGAAACAAATGAGGGAGCCTGGGCAGGGGCAAAACCGCGGAAAGGATGGTTCAGTCCGGCGATAAACTAGGTCCTCCAGTAGAGAGGTTAGAATAAGGGTACTTTTTTTTTCTGCAGCCTATTTTAGTAGGGGAACCCTCCCCCAAAGAGGGGGTGAGAAAGGGCACTACTGGGGGACCTAGTAAAACCTGGCCGCCAACAACTGTTAACCCCGTTGTATATATAATTCCCTGCTTGATTCTTTGATTGAGGTGATCTCCCTTCTGGTGGGAACCCTTCCCTTTTGCGTTGCCCCCCCTGTAGGAGTGAGGTTGACCCCGGAATGATAAACCCCCTGTTTATTAATAGGCGGGTGTCCCCGGTTTTAGTGGGGATTTATCACTTTTGGAGGGGAACACCCCCATATTAATAAACATGGGTTTATTGATCCGGGCTCAACATTACATGAACAAAAAATCCATGTTTTTGGTGGTCGCAGGGAACCGCCCTAAATGAAAGGGCACCACAAAAAGGGGCTCAATTGCTCACTTGCCCCGGGGACCGGAAATGAAAGGTGATCACCTTTTGGGACCTTTACGAATGCACCAAAACAGAAGAACCAAAAAAAGAAAACGGAAAACGGGAACCTTTTGGGAAACCGAAAGCTTAGATCCGGACGATTTTTTTCTGTGGATTCGCTTGCCGAATTTCCTGCCTCACAGACCTTCTTCAGTTCCGCGGATTTGGTGCGAAAGCTCTTGCAGTACTCCACCAGCTGTGCCTTGGCCATCCTCAGAAAAAATCGTCGGTGGCCGGTGCCATGGGGTCAAAAAAGGGGTCACTGCTCGGTTGCGAAATCAGCGAAGCCCTGCCAAAAGTGACTAACCTTTAGTAGTTTAAGGGAAAACCCCCTTGGCAAAAAGCTAAAGTCCTAACATCCCTTGGCAAAATGCGCCAAAGACTGGGTTTCCCTCCAAAGTCAAATTGAAATGTTACTGTTGATCTCTGTTGAAACTGCCACTTTTGGAGGTCCAAACAAGGGACATGGAGGAAACCCTGAACTCGCGGCTCGAAAAAACAGGCCTGGGCTTGAAGTGGAGAGGGCTTGAATGAGAAAGTTGGAGTTTCAGGTTTGGTGCAGAAGTCGAAAGGAGTCCCACTCCCCAAAGCTCGCAAATTGGTCGCAAATTGGGGGGGGAGCTGTGCTTCGGCCAATAAAAGCGCCAATCTAAGCCCCTGGAAAGGAGAACGAGTTCCAGGCTCGCAAATGCGGGTCGCCAAGTCGAGCATGTGCTGGTAAAACAAAAGCCGGTGTCCAAAGAACAACCTCGCCCCCACGCCTATGCCAGGCACTTTCTTTTTTTTTTGCAGTTTTCAGGGGACGAGACGCACTTGCAGAACAAGCAACATGGCGGCATTTAAACAAATGCTGGAGTGGTGTCTTCAGCGCCTTGCAGTGCTTGTTCTTTGTTGTTGCCCACTACCTGGACCTTCAAACGTACCTACAATTTCTGCCGCCCCTGTCAATCGACTGGTTTTTGCAATAGCGAGCAAACAAAAATAAGAAAAAAAAGAGAGAAGGTATCAATGGAAGGTCCAGGTATCAATGGGCAGACCCAAAAAACAGAACACCTAAACTGCCAGCCAAGCTGTTGACAGGCAAGCGCGTCAAACATCAGACCATGCTGGGCCAAGCTTAGGCCAGCATCATCCAGCATCGAGTTGCATTGCGTGCCCCTCCCCCCCCCGGCAACGCCTCGAAGTGGCTGTCTTTTTTTGGAGAACCACCAAAATGAGCGGTATTCCTTCTCTTGGTTGCTTTCTGCTCCCCTGCTACAAGCTTAACCTTTTGGTGGTTCAATACGGAAACCCCCATTCGTTGGCAAAAAAAGTTAAAGTCCTAACATCCCTTGGCAAAATGCGCCAAACTTGGGTGCTGTAGATCCCCCAGCAAAAGTTTAACTTTTTGCTAATTAAAAGAAAATAGTCTAAAAATCCAACCCAAGAGCAATAAAACTCCATTTGCTTAAATCGCCTAATAGTAATAAGTTATCTTTAAAACCAAAAAAGGATATTAAAATAATATTCTTAACCAAATAAAAGCAACCATTTAAATCATAGTTTTCCCCTTTATGGTGTTTCCCCCACTAAAACGCAAACAGGAGTACCCTCCAAAAAGTTTCACACACCCTTTGAACCGGAAAATGAAGTACCGAGGCCAGGAAGCCACTCTCAAGCTTTAGCCTCTCAACCCCACAAGAGTACCTTCCAATTAGACGCCTTCCAATGGGTGGAGGCTTGGTTGGAAATACCAACCTTGAAGTACTCAAGCCTCCATTTGCTTGAGCCCCCTGGGAAAAGAAATATGAAAAAAAACATCCAGTAGTGATAGATTCCCTTTAAAACCAGCAGGGGGTAATAAAAACATGTTCTTAAGCAAATGGAAGGCACCTCTCGAACAACAAGAGTACCCTCTCGAAGACCTATGCTAGGTGCTCCAGATTTGAGAGCTTAGAATAAGTTGGTACCATTTGTTTTTCCCGTAGTCTATTTTAGTAGGGGAACCCCCCCAACCAAAAGAGGAACGGTAAGAAAGGGCACCAATTGCTGGGGAGACCTGGCCTATCTCCGAGCGGCATGATGTTGTTGTCCCGCACGGCCTGGACTGGTTGAAGGAGCACCCGCTTAGCCTCAGGCCAGCTGAGATCACATCAAGAAACCCAGGGTGCATGTTGTTGTTCACTTCCCATCCAGTGGATTGCCGAGAAAACGTGCCCCGTGTTCTTCTTGTAGCCACCAAGATGGTCCAGACCCAAAAGTTGACAAGTCCAAGAACTCAGGGAGTGAGTTGCTGAAACAGGCGAGTTGTTTGTTGTCGTTTTGTCCTGGGGGGGGAGGGGGTCCGATGGCTGAAACCCTACCAGGCCCTACCCTGTCGTGTCTTTTCTTGGGGCTTTTTTGCTCAGCAACCCGACCTTTTCCCCACCCCCACACGAAACTGAGCAACTTGTGGCCCCTGTGAGGAGAAGAAAGGGTTGCCCTTATTCCCCCGGCCCTGCACGTGGTGGCCCCACAAACACCAAGCCCCAGCCCAGTGACATACCCGTTTTGAGGTTCACATGAAAATGAATCCAAACCAGGAAAAGGGTGCCACTGAACAACGTTCCCCGTTCAACTAGGTCCAGATTTGAGAGCTTAGAATAAGTTGGTACCCGACTTTTTTCGGTTTTGTCTATTTTAGCAGGGGAACCCTCCCAACCAAAAAAAGAAACGGTAAGAAAGGGCACCAATTGCTCCCCCAATTGCAAAAAAGGGGTGAGAAAGGGCACTACTGGGGGACCTAGTCGATTTGTTATTGAAGCGAGCGCTTTCAGATTGCCGCCTGAGGCTTGGCTTGGCTGAGGCTATTCTACTCTCTTCCTCATCTCATCTTCCTCGTAGTTGGTGGCTTGGAGCCGAATCGGTGGTTTGGAGGTTGGGGGGGAGGCTTCTTTCCCGTTTGGTCTTGACAAGAATCAGGGTTTCAAATCCCCAAACCACCAATCCAAATCACCAATTGAGGATTCTACATCAATACTAAATCAGCGATTTCTTCCAGACACAGACGCTGACACAGACACACCCACACAGACATGGAAAACTAAGGCATCAAGGACAACCACCCCAGGCAACATTTGGACATGTGGGGCCCAACACAATCTTTCCAGACTCCTTTCCGGGCCGAGATTCCGCGAACATGTCTCCTTGGTTGACACTACGCGTGGCAGGTTGGTTCGAGGTGACCCGCTTGAGGCTTGGTTGGAAATACCAACCTTGAAGTACTCAAGCCTCCATTTGCTTAAGTCCCCTGGGGAAAAAAACAACATCCAGTGGTGATAGATTCCCTTTAAAACCAACAGGTGGAAATTGAAAACATGTTACATCAAGCAAATGGAAGCAAGGGAAGGGTCGAAGGAAGGCCTCCGAGAGGAAGGCCGGCAGCGAAGCAACCAATGAGCGCTGCAGCCTGCCTCCAACCAACCCGACTTTTTTTTCTTTTTTTTCTGGACGTCTATTTTAGTAGGGTCCCGAACCCTCCCAACCAAAAAAGAAACGGGTAAAGAAAGGCAGCAATTGCTGGGGGACTATGGGACCCTTTCTCTCAGCTTTGGCCTCTGAAAGCTTTTTCAACGAGTCTCCGATCCCGCTCGGGAGCGCCTGCCCGCTGACCCTGGGGTCAAAAAGTCTTTACCCAAAAGACTAAGACCCTCTCAAGAGTCGCACCCATCCCAATAAACAAATCACCAGCTGCATCAACTGGGTTCCCCTCTTTGCAACTTCTTATATTGGCTTTTCTGGGAGCTAGATAGGGGTTAAACAAAAAAAGCAGCACTTGCCCTGCCTTTTCGCTCTCAAAAAAAACAAAAAAACGCCAAAGCGAGGGGCCGAGCGGTACATGACGATTTTGCAGGGGTTGGTCTGTGCCTTTCCTGCGATGGAGAAGAACGGGCTGCTGATGACGCCTGGCTCCATGCCGCTCGACTGTCGGACTGCTCGGATTGGCAGGTTCAACCGGATCGGATTGGTCGGATTCGGAGTTTCGCGCCTTTCGCCGGGGATTTGCCAAGTAGGTCCTCCAGTAGAAAGGTTAAGGGTACCAACTTGTTTCTCGAATCTATTTTAGGGGGACCCTCCCCCCAAAATGGTAAAAGGGCACTACTGGGGGACCTAGGTAGCAAAGAAGACCCTTTTTACAAGTGGCTTGACACGTGGCACCAAAAAGACAGGAGTGCCACTGAACAACGGGGCTATAATGCGAAAGAAGGCAGTTAGTGCGGCCGCTCTGTTTGTTGCGCTTGCATTTGCCACTAAAACCGGCCCCTATATTTCAAGGGCTCTTGAATGCCAGCGAAAGAAGTCGAACTTTTACTTTTCGTGGGCGCACTACGGCCTTCCCTGCCAAAAACTTAACCTTTCACACCCACTAGAAAACAACTAAACCAACTAAAAACCAACTAAAAAGACCGAGGGAACAACCAAAGAAGACACCAAACCGACCAAACACGGCGCCAAACCTACACATCCTACACCAACTAGAAACGGAACAAGAGACCCAAAGGAACCGGATCGAGCCGAGGTTTGGGGACCTATAGAACTCAAAGGTGATCACCGGTCGGGAACCTCTCTACAAGAGAGGTGGCCAAAACAGAACAGGCCACCCTGTAGCGCCCTCAAAAACCAAAAGAGGAAGAAGAAGAAAAGACACAACCAACAAAATTGCCCAGTTCGTTGCGAAAAGGGGCACTTCCAAAGCTTCGATCCGGGCGATTTGCTTCGAACTGAGTTGCCAAAAGGCCAACTGGCGAAGCGGGAGCTTGGGCCAAGACCTCTTAAGCCACCGCCCTGACCTCTGCAGCCATAAAGCGGAACTCATGAATCACAAAATCAAACCCCCATAAACCCCCGCCTTTCTGGGCTGTTCAAAATGGAGAGTTGGCCAATCCTAATCCATAATTCCATAATCCCTATAGGAAAGCCAGGTAAGGATTAAGGATTACCTTTGAACCCAGTTTTTGGGACGGGTCCCGGCCAAGAGGAAACCACTCAGCTGCAAACTCCACATTGTATAAAATATGTCCAACATTTGACAGGGCCTGTCAGGCGAGCATTTCCGAGTTGAGCAACTTCGCGACCCATGAAACTCTACGCAGGCAAACCTGGAAGATTGACCCTCCTGGGCTGTCCGTTTTCGGATCCCAAAGTCAAAGACTTCGACTTGCTTGCTGCAACGCCCCCCCGGCAAAAAGGGGAAAACTTTTTGGGGGGTTCACCAACTTGATTTCCCAAAAAGTCAAAGTCTAAAGATCCAACCCACTAGCAGTCAAGTTGCGTGGGTGAAAGAAACCAAGAACCAAACAACCGGAGTGCTGCCCGCACCCATCACTCCCAACCACTTCGAGTCGTCGAGTCAGCCACGGCACTGTTGCTGCCATTGGCCTGAGTCGATCAAACACCTTTGGAGCAAAGCCCTGGAACCGGTCGATTGCCACAGCTCCCATTTGCTTCAGCAGTGATCGATTCCATTTAAAAGCCATGGAAAATATCGGAAAATCAACAAACCAGAGCATAGTACTGAGCAAACGGAACACATTTAATGGAACACATGTTTGCCCTATCCCTCAGAAATTGGCTAGACCCTCGCCGGAAAGCTCAACCCTTGAAGGTATCAAAGCCGCCAAGCACCGGTTGGCCCATAAGCTCACGTCAAACTGGTAGAGGGGAAACACTTGAAATCAACACCTGGTAAGAAAATGATCTACCCAAACGTACGGAGTTGCAGAAGCGGCGCGGGCACCCATTTATGGCTGGGATTTTATCCCTTAGTAGCCGTCGTCCACCCGGAACCGCGTTGATTGTGGCTCACCTTTGCCCATTGGCCGCTCGGATCTCGCCGGGGCTAGACCCGCCGACTGAAACAGCAAAAAGGAATCGGTGGGTGCACCCGCGCGTGGCTTGGGCTGAAGTCAAAGCACCGGACTCGGCACTGCACCCAACCCCTGCACCCAAAACTATTTGCCATTTGTTGCCATGGGCAAAAGCCAAATCGTACCCCCAGTGAACATATCAATCCCCACTGTAGACGAAAATGGGTGGTGCACCTACCCCAGAATGGGATCCCATTGGTGTTGACAACCACGGCCATTTGGAGCCGACCCTGGAAAAAAAAGGGAACCCTTTTTGGGGAAGACCATTTTTAGTCATGAGCCACTAAAAGACAGGGAAAAGGGTGCCACTGAACAACTGAGAAACTGTGGATGCAAAAGCGAAATCCAATTCGCAGGATTTCGTCCATTTACAGGGAATCGAATGAATCATTCGGTTAGCTTGCTTAGGCGGTGCAGGATGTCTTCCATACACGGGGAATCGAACCATTCTGTTGCATTTCTTAGGCGGTGCAAGAGTTCGTCCGTTCACAGGAAATCGAATCATTGTTGGGTTTCTTAGGCGCAGGAGTTCGTCCATTTACAGGGAATCGAATCATTCCGCTCCGGTTCTTAGGCGATGCAGGATTTCGTTCATTTGCAGGGAATCGAACCATTCCGTTGCATTTCCTAGGCGGTGCAGGATTTCGTCCATTTTCGGGGAATCGAATCATTCCGTTCGGTTTCCTAGGCGGTGCGGGAGTTCGTCCATTGATAGCGAATCGAACCATTCATTTGGGTTTCTTTGCAGGAGTTCGTCCAGTCACAGGGAATCGAATCATTCCGTTGGGTTGCTTAGCTGTGCAGGATTTTGTCCGAATCATTCCGTTGCGTTTCCTTAGGCAGGGCAGGATTTCGTTAGTTTACAGGAAATCGAATCATTCCGTTGCGTTTCTAGGCGGTGCAGGATATTTGTAACTTCTCTTTTCAGCACGTAGCACAAATTCGCCACCTCATAGATGTGCTCAGCCGCAGGCTCTTTGCTTTGGACCCTGGCTATCAGCCTGAACCCCATTGTGCTCAAGCCTCTTGCCAATGGTCTTCGCATCCAAGAGAAAGGTTGCACATTTTGTCTTTCCCAGGTTTGCCTTCAATCAACTTTTCGCTGGTATCAAATTTAGACTGACGACCAGCGCGAAAGCAGCCATCTGCAAAATGAAAGCCAGGAATGGGCACATCCACGCTTCGCTCAAATCTTTCGCGAATGAGGATTTTGGCTCTGGTAAGGAGCTTCGTAAAGCTCGGAGAATCGAATCATTCCGTTGGGTTTTCTATCAGGAGTTCGTCCATTTGCATGGAATAGAATCATTCCGTTCGGTTTCCTAGGCTGCGCAGGATTTCGTCCATTTGCAGGGAATCGATTCATTCCGTTGCGTTTCCTAGGCGGTGCAGGAGTTTGTCCATTTATAGGGAATTCAATCATTCGGTTGGGTTTCAATCAAGTCGTGGCCGGGTGTTTTCGCGCAAGGCTGCAGGCCGTGGACATTTACTCCAAGATGCTGAGGGGGCCTAGAGGTCCAAGGCATTTTCCGAGTTCTGCCAAGGAAAAGAGTATAAACTCAGGGAGGCTTGAAAAAAAATAAATCCTGAACTGCGCTGTCCAAACTGATCCCCTGCCAAATTACACCGAACACTTATGAATACGGAAACCACCCATCTTTCACCAACTCATAACTAAAGTCCTTTCTGAACCGGATGGCTCGGGTGAAAAACGGACCCCCCAAAACCTATAGAAAGCTGAAAAAAGCCTCTAGGAACACCAAGCCTCAGCTCAATTTCTCCTCTCCGAACCAACAGATCCGTCCGGTGCCGCCTCGAGAAACCTCCGCATTTTGGAGCTGACCGCTTTGTCCATCGGGAAGATACCAGCCCAGAGAGAAAAAAAAGCGGAAAAAAAAAAAACCCGAGAAACCTCCGAAGACACCTGAAGACAGAGGAAGCCTTCGCAAACGCGAAAACCCTCGAAGCCTGAGAAACCTTCCGCTAACCTCACATCACCTGCCTAAGGCTCACCGGGCCCCGGGTTTTGTAATGAAGAACCCGGACCCAGGGGCCCTGGAAAACAACACATTTTAAGGGCCCAAAAAAGCCTCGGGAGCTTTGGGGCGGTTTTTTCTTCTCTTTTTTTGCGACCAGGGCGCGAAGGTGAAGGTCAATGTGTCAGAGAAGCCACGGAAGTCGAAGGTCCGAGTGCTGAACTCCTCCTCAAGCCAGCCAAAAGCGAGCCGAACAAAAACTCGGCTTTCCTTTAGGGGTTGATTCCTTTCCCATTCTGCTCAACCATCATTTTTTTCAAAAAAAGAGAGGCTATTTTCCCTGGGTTCCCGGAGGTTTTCCGGAGGCTTTCTAGAAAGAAGGATCCCTGGAAAGAATGGAAATGGAAGGTACTCCTAAAGGCTTGGAGGACCTTTCCAACCCACTTGAGGGGGTGAACGAAAGCTCGCCCAGCCAGCCCTACGACATGTACGACTCAGGAGTTGCTAGGATATTGGGAATGAACGTCTAGAAATGTCTTTCCAGAGGCGGGTTCCCCCCATTGCAAACATGTGGGCGAGATTATGGGAATACGCGCGTGACGGGGGCGTGCGGCACAGGGGGGAATCGAGCCCCCCGGACACCCCCTGGGCACCCTCCCCCCCCGTAAAAGAATCTAAAGCTTACAAGAACTCCCGCTAGCACAGCTACACGGGTCAGTATTTTTACTGTTGCTGAGAAAATGAGCTGTTTCCCTTTAACCCACACTTAGGGGGTGACTTTGATCATGGTAAAATACTGGGGGGGCTAGTGCTAGCTTTCGTGAAAACGGTCCGGCTCTGGCTCCCATTCTGCCCCATTCCCGTCCTCCTTCACTGCTGTTCGGGCAGAATTGAAGCTGAACATATCCTCATCCTCAACGCGAATGGCGGTCGCAATGGCCAAGACGCTCGCAAGCGCCGCCCAGTGCTTCCTCGGAAATCGGGGCGGCGAGCGGTTCTTTTCTGTCTTAACGGGGGCGAGAAGGAACTGGCTCTGGCTCAAAATTAAACCACCAGGTTGCAGTCCAAGTTTGCATTTACCAGGGTAACCTATTTTTGACCCACAGCCAACTTTGCTGATTCCGTTTTCAGTGGATACACCTGCAAGCAGTTGCATCTAGGCTGCTTTTTGGGGGTGAGCCTTGGTTGGGGACCAGATATCGGGGGCACCCCGCAACCTTCTGACTACGCAGACTGCGGTCAAAACGACTTCCCCCCCCCCCCGGCCCCCCCCGGCCAACTTGCCACATCCCAACGGCGACAAACCGTGCCCTCTTCCGTATTTGATTTCCTTAAATCATGGTCATCAGCAGCAGCAGCAGTAATCACCGTCATCGCCGTGAGCGTCGTCATGCTCCTCCTCTTCCTCATCATCAGCAGCATCAGCGTCAGCATCCTCTTCCTCCTCCTCCTCCTTCTCATGATCATGATCATGATCATGATCATCATGATCATCATGATCATCATGATCATCATGATCATCATCATCATCATCATCATCATCATCATCATCATCATCATCATCATCATCATCATCAAAATCATCATCAGCAGCAGCAGCAGCAGCAGCATCATCATCATCATCATCATGATCATCATCAACCACCAAATGAATCATCAGCTCCAAGAACTTGCTTGGGATCAACCCTGGAGGTAGGTTGGGACAAGCATTACTTTGTACATGTTCCATGCCTGACACGGGATGGATGCCTTGGAAGCTTGCCAGTGACACCAAAGCCAACTGACGCTTCCTGATTGATTGCCCAAGTCTGAACTGTTTGTGAACCACCCAAGTTAGCCTTCCCACAGAGTGAGATTATTTGGTTGCTCTTGCTGTGCTCAATCTTGTACTCATGGGGGCTGGGGGGGAGGAGGGGGAGGGAGTCCAAATAAGCCCTTATTAAGTCCTTAATAAGGCCTTATTTGCGGCCTTTTTTGTGGTCCCTGCCCCTCCCTCCCCCAGCCCCCATGATGTACTCCCGAAACTCGTTCTGTTTTGCCCAGGCGTAACACGGTCAGTCTGTTGCTGCCTCTGCTGCCAAGCCGCATGGTATGAAATCGGGGCTGGATTTGAGAAAATCACTAACAGGCCGGGTTTGAGCACTGCGCGGTTTGCCGAAAGACTCTGGATGTAAACACGAACATTCCCACGGCCCGAGGCGGTCCCCAATACAACCTTGCCCTGTGCTTCTAGCGTTGCACCTTGCTCCCAAAATATTGCAAGGAAACCTGACAAAACGCTTACATTTAGATCTTGCTGGTACTCAGCAGGGAATGAGGGAATGACCCCTTATAAGCCATCCCTTGTGGCTTATTTTAAGGGAATTCCTGAGTTCATTCAGGAGCTCCGATCAAAATTTGCACCCCTTGTCACAAGCTATGGGCAGGCCCCAAGGTTTTTCGCTTATAGCCGGCTAGAAACCAAATCTCCGGTTGCTGCGGCAAATGCGCTTAGGTCCTCCAGTAGAGAGGTTAGAACAAGGGTACCCTTCTTTATGTAGTCTATTTTAGTAGGGGAACCCTCCCAACCCCCAAAAAAAAAAGGTGAAAGAGCGGGCACCTAGCTGGGGGAAGGCGCAATGCTGGCCACTGCTCTTCTTGAAACTTGGTTGCTGCAACGACCCCCCTGCAAAAAGTGTTTGACTTTGGGGGGGGGGGTAGTGAAAAACCAAACTTGATTTCAACCAAAAAGTTAAAGTCTAAAGATCTGTTGCCCAATAGCAGTCAAGGAAATAAAAGGCAAGACTTTGGGAGTGACCAGCATGGACCAGGGAAAACCAAAAGCTCCAATCCTTTTCGATCGATTCGCTTTGGGCAAGTGAGAGTTCTTTTCTGACCCGGCAGCTCCATGGCAGGCTTCATGCGCCTGTAGCCAACCTGACATAGGAGACCTTCTGGATGAAAAATAAATGGGGGTTCCTGGCAAATGGATGGCATAAAAGCCATCTATATAAACCACCAAAAAAACACATCCATTCCTAACTCAACTAACCTAAGAAGGACACCTGTTCCTACTGAGTTGACGGGCAAACAAACTCTTGGGCCCCTAGACCCGGGCAACTGCTTTCGCTTAGCACTCAAAATCAACAAACATCCCCACACGTCAGCTTGGAAACGTCTACGCTCTTCTTCGATCAACAAGGAACCCTCAAAACAACATCTCTAGCGGTCGGCTCGATCCTTTTGCGGCGCCCTTTTTGGAAGGCCAGGCTTTAGATCTCCCAAGTAATACCTGTGATCTCAATAGTGTTGTCCCCATATTAATCAACCCCAGTTTATTAATAGGGGGTGTCCCTGGGTTTAGTGGTGGGAATCATCACTTTTGGAGGGGCCCCCACCCCGCTCTTAATCAACTGGTTGGTTGGTTCATATGGGGTAAACATCAACTAGGTCCTCCAGTAGAGAGGTTAGAACAAGGGTGCCCATTTTTCTGCAGTCTATTTAAGTAGGGGAACCCTCCCAACCAGAAAAGGGGTGAAAGAGCGGGCACCTAGCTAGGGGACCTAGATCAAACAACGGGAAACCCGTAGAGCATTGCCAGGGACCTCCCGAAATCTGTGTTGGACCTCCCGAGGATGCAAAATGGCGCCTGCAGCCCCGCCGCCTGCCCCTCCGCCTGCCGAAAAACAGGAAGAACTGGAGCGTTTGTTGTGAAACCGCAGCGCTCACCCCACCTCAACGGCAGAGACGTTTGGAGAGACTGCTTTCTTTTCTGACTTCAGTACCCCAACTTGTTGCTTGCCACTAAAATGGAATGCCCAAAAGATTGTTCAGTCTATGAATCCAGCGAGTGAGTCTTGACATGCGGGACCTTGTGCACTTCTATGTTCGTGGATACCCCAGGGGGGGACTGACGCTCAAACCTCCGCACCGTCTCAGCGCGGTTGGGTGTTTCAACGATCGGGCCAGAGCGGGCAGAAAAGATTTCAAGTTGAGCCCAACGTTTCAACCGTGATGAATTCAATCGGAAAGCCAAGTGATCGTTGGGCGAAGATCAAGCTCAGGTACAGCCAGCTCAGCCATGGTGGTCCCTTGAACCCTTTGGGCCCCTGGTGTCCGATCTTGGAAAATGAATTTCGCCCAGATCTTGTAACAAAATGGAGGAGTTGCCGTTTGTCAAGCCCTCGCGGCAATCTCCGCACAGATCCGCCAGCTAGAGTATGGCCTCCTGTTTTAGCTTGACTGCCCCAACCCGCAACTAGCTGGGAAACCGTATTAGTTGGGAAAGAGGTGCGATACATGTATAGTATTGTCTACTCAACAGGGAAACAAAGGGAAACAAACACAGCGAACCAGAAACCGGGACCTTTATTAACCCCAGTCCGGTAGGCGAGCGCAAACCCTGTTTTGATGATGGGCATTGATACTTGAGCCAAATGCGCATTGGCATTCGACATGTCTTGGAACATGCGGTCAACGGGGCCTCTAACATCACATGCATGCACACCCTTCTGGGGTACCTCTTTGGGGGTCAAGGGGTCGTGATTATTCAACTCCCCCTCCCCGTCCTCACTAAGAGACTTGTACTTTACAGTCGCGCTTGAGCTGCGACCCATGTGCACTTTTCTCATTGCTTGGTCATCTCAGGCCGGACATCCTTCAACTTTTCGGGCAAATTTGTTCTGATGCCCAAAAGCTTGAGAGCGTGGTCCCACTTCAAGGGTTCTAGCGCTTTTGTGAAGATGTCGGCTGCCTGGAGATCGGTTGCTACGTACTTGATCACTACACCTGTGCCAGGTTCAAGTTGCTCTGCAAGTGCGGACAAGTTCACTTTATGAGTGCGCTGTATGTGCCGCATTTTTGGGGAGTAACCTTTCTTAGCAACCAGGATAGTGGCTTGGTTATCTTCGTGTAGCACCTGTTCAACCGGGCGTCCAAGCAAACGTTCCCACAGAGTCAAGGAGGGGAGACCCTCTTGATACAAAGAAAACGTGAGTGAAACAACCTCGGCTTCGGTGGTGGACCTCGGCACTGATGTCTGTCGTTTGCTCAACCACGCTAACGGGAAATGGGTGTTCGGTCCTTTGAGAACCAAGAAGCCACCGGATGTGGACTTCGCATCCCTTTCTCCCGCATGGTCGGCATCTGCATACAGAGCGATCGAGGTGAAGATCTTGCGGATTATCCTTTATGACTCCTTCCAACCGGTAGTGCGTCGTCGAGTGGATGTACGCGACGGGCGAGTTTCCTATCGTGGTTGCGAGACCACTTCTGCACGGCGGTGGCTAAGTCACCTATAGGCTTGATGATATCAGGACGCGCTAGTCGTCCCAGCCATAAGGCCTTCATGACAAGTTTGCACGGGAGATGAGTTGGCCTCGCGGCGCCCTCTACCGATGCTGCAGGATCCAGATCCCTGTGCTGTGAACCCTGGTTGTGGGGTAGGCACAGTTGGCCGGAGCAGGGAAGCACGGGCTGGAGGCGGGGGCGTGGGCTCCTTGTCCTTGACCTCGCTGCGCTTCTAGCTGCAGCCCTGAGCGGTGTCCTGGGTCCTTCGGTACAGAGGTAGGCTGATGCCTTTCCGCTGGTGTCCTCCTCCTCGACGAGGATCTCCCTCCCACCCGACCTTGATGCTGGTGGGTAGAGGAGGGCCGACGGGACGGGCTCTCAGTTGAGGCTCTGTTTGGAGCCGCTGCGCTTGGAGCTGCAGCCTGATCTGCCGGCCCTGTTGCTGTCTGTGTCACCGCTACGCTTGAAACTGCAGCCTTGCTGGTGGACACAGTTGTGGTTGAGGATGGACTTGATGGATTCCTCGGTTGCTGTTGCTGAGCTGGTGCGGGAGCCTGCCCTGCCTCGCCTTGAGCTGCGGCCTGTGCCCTTTGCAAGAGTGGGATGGGTTGGTGTCGGCCTCGGGCGATGACAGCGTCGTAGAGGTCGGGGTAGATGTCCCGCAAATGCCGACAGCTCTGCTCGGTGAAATCGGCGTGCCACGCCAGGAGGGAGCTCCAGTGCAAGTCCGAAGCTTCCTCGCAGGGGACTTTTGCTACCCCAACCTTGAACTGCTGCCAGGCCCACCGGGTGAGCGCGTCGAAAGCCTCGTAGTAAAGCCTTCGACGGTGAACCCACCCGCCCCTTTGTCCTCTGGCCGAAAAGGCCGGAGCCGGGACTACCGGACTGAGGGGGCCTAATCCCACAAAGCAGTTACGGCTGATAACCACTCAACAGGGAAAGAAACACCTTTATTAACCCCAGTCCGGTAGGCGAGCGCAAACCCTGTTTTGATGATGGGCATTGATACTTGAGCCAAATGCGCATTGGCATTCGACATGTCTTGGAACATGCAGTCAACGGGGCCCTCTAACATCACATGCATGCACACCCTTCTGGGGTGCCTCTTTGGGGGTCAAGGGGTCGTGATTATTCAACTTGTCTACCTACAAATATATATATATATATATACACATGTAGATATACATATATACATGGTATATATATATATACACACATGTGTGTGTAAACGCCTGGACCACTCGGCTGATGCAAACTTCCGCCGCCAAAGGTTTGAACCTGAACTATCGCCTGATCAATGCGGAACACATATCTGCCTGTTGCATGCCTTTTTTGGAAATTCCATGTTGATTCGGCCGGGGGGGGGAGGGGCTACACAAGGGTCCGCCAATTACACCAGACCCTCGAAGTCTACAGGACACGGGGACACGCCCCAACACACTCTAAGCGTCAGCCCACAAGAACCTCCTGCCGGCGCCTGCAGCCCCATCTCCTGCCCCTCCGCCTGCCGAAATGCTTCCTCTTGAAGCGGGAGGGTGTTTGAACGATCGGATAGTTCCGCAGCCAGGGCCTAGAGCTAGGGCCAATTTGGTTTGGCAAGTTTCGTTTGGGCGACTATCAAGCTCAATTGAGGCAAAGCCAGATCACCCATGATGGTCCCTTGGGCTGCTTGACCCCTTGTGTCCGATCTTGGAAAATGAAACTCGCTCAAATCTAACAAAATGGAAGAGTCCGTTTGTCAAGCCCTCGCGGCAACGTCCGCACTGATCTGCCCCGTACTAGCTAGGAAAGCGTACGATGTGTATAATATATACCTATAATTTACATATATATATATATATATAATATATATGTGTGTGTGTGTGTGTGTGTGTGTGTGTGTGTGTGTGTGTGTGTGTGTGTGTGTGTGTGTGTGTGTGTGTGTGTGTGTGTGTGTGTGTGTGTGTGTGTGTGTGTGTGTGTGTGTGTGTGTGTGTGTGTGTGTGTGTGTGTGTGTGTGTGTGTGTGTGTGTGTGTGTGTGTGTGTGTGTGTGTGTGTGTGTGTGTGTGTGTGTGTGTGTGTGTGTGTGTGTGTGTGTGTGTGTGTGTGTGTGTGTGTGTGTGTGTGTGTGTGTGTGTGTGTGTGTGTGTGTGTGTGTGTGTGTGTGTGTGTGTGTGTGTGTGTGTGTGTGTGTGTGTGTGTGTGTGTGTGTGTGTGTGTGTGTGTGTGTGTGTGTGTGTGTGTGTGTGTGTGTGTGTGTGTGTGTGTGTGTGTGTGTGTGTGTGTGTGTGTGTGTGTGTGTGTGTGTGTGTGTGTGTGTGTGTGTGTGTGTGTGTGTGTGTGTGTGTGTGTGTGTGTGTGTGTGTGTGTGTGTGTGTGTGTGTGTGTGTGTGTGTGTGTGTGTGTGTGTGTGTGTGTGTGTGTGTGTGTGTGTGTGTGTGTGTGTGTGTGTGTGTGTGTGTGTGTGTGTGTGTGTGTGTGTGTGTGTGTCCATCCCTGTTGCCAAGGGCTGATCTGAGTTCTTTGTCAGACTCGCAAGCTGGGAGTCTTTGCAAATTGTCGAGGTGGTGCCGGCTATCCGGACTCTCCATTTCTTTTCCAAGTATGTGGAGTAGGCCACAGCCATCCTTGGGTCTAGTCTGTGGCCCTGACGAGTAGGGCCCAAGGATGACGAAACTCCACTCAATCAATTAAAGTGCATGTGTGCCCACTGGGCTTGATCCTGACCCTCGCAGAAGAAATGAGACACAACAAGGACCGAGAGAGGGGGGATTTCACAAGTGTGATCCAGGCAGTAGTTCGTTTAACGGGCTGCCTGCGGTAGGATAGCCTACTGTGTTTGATTGAGCCTTGCCATCGGCTCGCGCGCAGCATTGGTCATTCAGTTGACCCTCAGATGTCAGTTTTGACCCTTGAGGTCCCCAGGTTTGTTTGGAACTTGCCTTTGTTCCGCCAAGCTTTGGGAGTCTTCCCACTCAGTTGCCATTTCATGGTTGGTGCTGTGAAGCACAACGGAGACTGCCAGCGATGTCTATCGCCTCAGAAACCAGCATGCCCATTGGGTCTGAGAGGCCGTAATCCCCCCGATGTATTTTTTGCTGCTGTCTAGGCCGTCGTTGCAATTTGCCATTTAGACCTGCAGCAAACCGTCGGTTTTTCTGGCCCGCGGGTGATTCAAATACCCGGCCGGGGCCCCGGCGTTAGTGGAGCATCTCGGATCGGTTCGTTCTTTTTGTTGTTTTCTTGTTCTTTTTCTTTTCCCTCGCTTTGCGCAAGATCCCTTTGGCCCTTTTGCAACGATTCTCTTTGCAAGCCGCGGTGACTGCGGCGCGTCTGGCTCTGTACAGGTCACAGGGTTTGGAGCCTTTTCACGTCTTGTTCATTTTAGTTTGGCCCGCGGGCGTTTTACACACCCGGCTGGGGCCCAGCGGTGGGATTTGGGTTCTGCGCAGGCTGCAATGTCTATGGCGAAAGAAGTGCCGCGTGGCTGATTGTGTGTGTCCATCCCTGTTGCCAAGGGCTGATCTGAGTTCTTTGTCAGACTCGCAAGCTGGGAGTCTTTGCAAATTGTCGAGGTGGTGCCGGCTATCCTATCCGGACTCTCCATTTCTTTTCCAAGTATGTGGAGTAGGCCACAGCCATCCTTGGGTCTAGTCTGTGGCCCTGACGAGTAGGGCCCAAGGATGACGAAACTCCACTCAATCAATTAAAGTGCATGTGTGCCCACTGGGCTTGATCCTGACCCTCGCAGAAGAAATGAGACACAACAAGGACCGAGAGAGGGGGGATTTCACAAGTGTGTGTGTGTGTGTGTGTGTGTGTGTGTGTGTGTGTGTGTGTGTGTGTGTGTGTGTGTGTGTGTGTGTGTGTGTGTGTGTGTGTGTGTGTGTGTGTGTGTGTGTGTGTGTGTGTGTGTGTGTGTGTGTGTGTGTGTGTGTGTGTGTGTGTGTGTGTGTGTGTGTGTGTGTGTGTGTGTGTGTGTGTGTGTGTGTGTGTGTGTGTGTGTGTGTGTGTGTGTGTGTGTGTGTGTGTGTGTGTGTGTGTGTGTGTGTGTGTGTGTGTGTGTGTGTGTGTGTGTGTGTGTGTGTGTGTGTGTGTGTGTGTGTGTGTGTGTGTGTGTGTGTGTGTGTGTGTGTGTGTGTGTGTGTGTGTGTGTGTGTGTGTGTGTGTGTGTGTGTGTGTGTGTGTGTGTGTGTGTGTGTGTGTGTGTGTGTGTGTGTGTGTGTGTGTGTGTGTGTGTGTGTGTGTGTGTGTGTGTGTGTGTGTGTGTGTGTGTGTGTGTGTGTGTGTGTGTGTGTGTGTGTGTGTGTGTGTGTGTGTGTGTGTGTGTGTGTGTGTGTGTGTGTGTGTGTGTGTGTGTGTGTGTGTGTGTGTGTGTGTGTGTGTGTGTGTGTGTGTGTGTGTTTGCGCGTGCGTGTATGTATACGCTTCGACCACCAGGCTACCGCAAATTTCCGCAGACCAAGGTTTGAACCCGAATTGTCGGGGGGAACCCCAACACGATGGCATCCAACACCTCCCCCCAGCCAATTTCCACGAGAACCTCCCGCTGGCGCCTGCAGCCACGCCGCCTGCTCCTCCGCCTTCCGAAGACTGGAGCATTTGTTGTGAAACCACAGCACCCACCCCACCTCAACGGCAGAGACGTTTGGAGAGACTGCTTTCTTTTCTGACTTCAGTACCCCAACTTGTTGTTTGCACTAAACTGGTCTAAGCATTTGTTTGCAAAGGAGACGCAAATTGGGGCCTCCCCCATATGTTGCGTGGACACTGTGGGTAGGTTTTGCAGCCTGCACCCTCCCGCCGCCTGCGCCTCCACGCGCCCCGCCGCCTGCCGAAACCAGCCAAAAAACAACAACAAAAAACGGGTGGCCCCAGTGCTTCTTGGGGGTCGCAAAGGCTTCTGAAAACAAAACCGATCTCTGCTCATTCGCTCCGTGAACTCACTTCCCCCGTAGGTTGGCCCAACACAAAGTATGTTTGCGTTGCGCGTTTTAACGTGCAAATAGGATTGTGTCAAAGAGGATACGTCCGAATCCTCAGGGCGCGAGGCAGGCACAAGAAAATGGTAATGTAAGGGGCTAAAAAAATAACGATTGTAATTAGGCTCCCCCTGCAATCATGACTAAATTTGTGTTGAAAGCGCGCCGCAATTCTGGTCATGATGAGCCGCAAAATGGACCTAGGTCCTCCAGTTGAGAGGTTTGAATAAGGCACCCTTTTTTCTGTAGTCTATTTTCGTAAGGGAACCCTCCCAACCAAAAAAGTTGGTAGCAGGGCCCTACTCATTGACCTAGGAACGTTTTTCCTACGGTGAGAAAACAACTTGGGTGCTGTAGATCCCCCAGCAAAAAGTTTAACTGTTTGCTGGTTTTAAAAAAAGAGGGGAATCCAAAAAGTTCAAGTCTAATAAAGATCCAACCCAATAGCAGTAGAGACAAAACCGAGGGAGGACGGTGCTCTCTTCCCCCAAAGCGCCCCTCGCGCCTGTGCGGGGTGTTGGGCCTCTGCCTTTCGCTGTTGCCGATGCGGTGGGTTCGGCGGGTTGGTGGGGGGGGGGATGATGGACCTCTCGACACTGGGTTTTTTTTCTAAGTAAGAGCCGTCACATACATGCATTTGGCTTTTCTAAAAATAAACATCCAATGTTTTTGGATATGTATACATATATGTATAGATATGTATATATATATATATGTAAAGATATAGATATATATATATATATACATATACATACATAGAAACATACACAAATCCGCCGACCCTCTGCCTCCCGTCCCAGCCTCCTGCAGAGGGGACCGGCGTGGGATGCAACTGGAAGTGATTGGAATCAATGATGACGCCCGAAAGCACAAAAAGTGGATTCCCAGGACCGGTCTGGGACCAGTCCTGAGACCGGTCCTGGGTCCTGGGACTGGTCCTGGGACCCTGGTTTTGTTGCAGCCGTCCCGGGCGGTCCCGGGACCAATCCTGGCATGTCTTGGGACTGTCTCCCAGGACCGGTCCTGGCACCAGTCCTGGGACCGGTCCTGGGACTGGTCCCACGACCGCTGGGGACTGGTCCAAGCCGGTCCCGGATCGAGTCCTGGTGTGACCGCTGGGCCCACTTCAAACTGCTGTGGTGCCACCTCAAACCGCTCCAGACACCTGCTTCCTCCAATAGCACAAACCGGCCCGTGCGGTTATTGACGGACGAGCTGCCATCTGTCTGGCTTTTCCGTTAATCCTTGTGGTAGTAGAGGATCGTTGGATCTATTCTGCAAGAGAGTCCAATAGCGCCAGACTGGGACCAGCCTGGACAGGGTCCCAAGTCCCGGTCCCTGCCGGCGACCGGTCCAGGGCAACTGTCAGCTTCGGGAGGCCCAGTTCAGGGCGACCCCGGGAGAGGCGACTGCTCCCGGGCCAACTCGAAGTGACTTGGGCGCAAGCCGGCCCAAGCTGTAATTAACGGACTAGCTGCCATATTTCTGGCTTTTCCGTTAATCCTTGTTTGTGGTCGTAGAGGATCTTATAAGTGGTCCCTGGGTTTGCGGACGTGTTTCAGGACCGGTCCTATATATATATATATATGTATACCCGCAGCCCGGCCAAGCAAAAGCTTCTTCGGCTAAAAGGCTCCACTTTTCGAGTCCGTCCATTATGACATTCGCAAGGCGGTGCTCGAGCCTCTGGCCGTGGTCACGCTACTTCGTCGGGGCTGGAGCGCAAACAACATCCCACCGATGCTTCATCTAGCAGTAGGGAGGTTAGAATAAGGATGCCCGATCCTTTTCTGCAGTCGATTTTAGTACGGGAACCCTCCCCCAAAAAAGGAAACGGTAAAAGGGCACTACTGGGGGACCTAGTCATGCAATTCGAAAGCTTCACGGGAAGGGAAATTGATGACCTTCACCAGGCAGGATTGAAATACCTTGAATGGTCTGCATTAAAGCCAACGTGCCTATCGAATGTGTTTGTTTGCCTTCGAAGACTCGAGGGAAAAATGAAACGATTGCATAAAATCACTTACTTCCATTGTTTAAGCCCCCTGGAAAAATATTTCCAGCATGACAGATTCCCTTTGAAACCAACCGGGGAAAACAACCATATTCTTAAGCAAATGGAAGCTTAGGCTACAGAAAGAACCTTAAACAAAGAAAAGAACGTGCGGCCGTTTTCAGCTATGGACAGCTTTTCCAAGGGGAGGCGTTGGAGTGGATCGACAACGAAAGCGCGAGCGCTGTGAAAATGAGCTCTGTAGCTTGCTGCAAAACCATCCGCGCGACCGTGGTCTGCAATGAGGATGTTCAGCGCTTTGGGAGGCCTGGAGTGAAGTTGAGAAACACAGCCTTACTAACTTGCTGGTGCCATGAACTGGTTTTGGGGTTCCCGAAAAAAGGAAACCACATAGGATGGATGGTCGTTCTCGGGGTCATTCCAATTCTCATTCCCCAGCAAGTTTTGGGTGGAACGTCTTGCCCTCACTTTCAGTGCTGCTTGGATTTTGAAGCAACACATGTCAAAGTCTCACTAGGTCCTGCAGCAGAGAGGTTGAGTTAGAATAAGGGAACCCTTTTCTCTTTTTTTTCGTCTATTTTAATAGGGGAACCCTCCCCAAAAAACGGGTGAGAGAGGGCACCTAGCTGGGGGACCTAGCTTAGGCAAAACTCCAGGTAAGAAGCCCGCGTCGTCCCAATGCCTGGTCTTTGCGCTCCATCATCTGATCTTCTGAATTGAGAACCTGAGCCGCGCTCAAAACATGAAGCTACCGTACAGGAAGCAGAACACTCATTATATTTAGTGAGTCTCCGGTGTGTGTATAGCGTTTTTTCCTCCACACTTGTCTTTCGAGCATGTTTTTGGGCTTCGAGCAGAAATCCAGTTTGGTCGTTTCATGTTCTTTCACAGAGGCGAAAGAAAGGAAGAGTCATCCCCCGCCCCCAGAAATGTCCCCCAAAAAACAGACCCGTGTGTCAAAACAGGGCACCTCAAAAACGAACCGCCCCCCAAGAGGTGTCCCCCAAAAACACAGACACGCGTGTCAAAACAGGGCATCTCAAAAACGAACCGCCCCCCAGAGGTGTCCCCCAAAAACAAAGACCCGTGTCAAAACAGGGCACCCCAAAAACGACCCGCCCTGCAGAGGTGCCCCCCAAAACCACAGACCCAGTAACAGGGCACCTCAAAAACGAACATGAAACGAGCGCAAAAGAAAAGGTGCAAAACGAGCGCAACTCGGCGCAAAAAAGTGCAAACAAGCGCAAGTCCAAAACATGCTATAGGGAATGGGTTCCGATGGGCACATGATTGCTGACAACTTGAGCGATTTTTGTTGAATCGTACATTAATTCTAGAACAGGTGGTCGCGAGCAGAAATATTTGGAGCACAAATTAAAGTATCAATGGAGGCTGCAGGCTGCCAATACGAACGTGCAGGCGCATGCGTGCAATTGAGCTAACCTCAGTAGACAGGCGGCTCCCTCCGTTTGTGGTAGCTTTAGAGGCAAGTCACCACGAGCCCAGCATGCCCGCCCGGAAAAGACCATGGCCGAGCAAACGGCAACCGAAGACCACCACTACGAAAGCCAAACAATGATCTGACGACGCTCCAAACGGTTGATTCCCCGTCAAATGGGCATTCAAAACCACAAGGTGGGAAACATATGGCGCTGTGACACAGGGAGTAGGTGTCCTTTTGGGCCAATAGATGGCCCTGGCAATTGCACAGGTCTAAACCGCTAACTTTTCCAGCCAAACTCACCGATCAAAAGACAACAGGCTTTCTTTGAAAGACTCGGTTCTTTTTTTTGCCAGTCGCCAGTTGGGGGAGCTTCCGGCTGTTCGCCTGAGAAGATATGTGCGACCATCTCCTTACAGAACCTTCCATTTGCTTAAGAATAGTTTCTATTTTCCCCTGTTGGTTTCAAGGGAATCTATCACTGCTGGAAATATGTTTATTTTTCCAGGGGGCTTAAACAAATGGAAGGAACTGCCAGCTCCGCTCTCTTTGTCAAATTTGGGTGCCCCCCAGCCCCGCGTCCGGCTCCCTTCCAACCACCAGCTGGCCAGGATTCCATTTTCTCTTAAACCCCAAGCTAGACTTCAACCCAGGCTGGTTGATTTCCTCCCCAAAAGGGAAACCCTTGGTTCAGCCTGCCCTAATGTTGACCCCGGATCCCCAAAAGAAAACTGCTTATTCATATGGGGTATTCCCGTCCAATTCTGAACTCCCGCGAACCTATATGTTGTTTGTTGGTGTTTTTTGGTAGTTTTAGGCGACTTCACACCCAAAAAAAAACAAAAAAAAACATCGAGATTGATTAGACGCAAAACCATCGAGCTTGAGGTTTACGCATGTTGAAGACGAGACCTACCCGGAACTTCACCTATGAATCTCCAGGCCGGAGCGACCCGAACCGAGCACGAAGCAACGAAGCAACGAAGCAACGAAGCAACGAAGCAGAGGCCGCCGCCGAACTGCATCACGGTGCCGGCGCCGTGGGTCCTCGGAGCTGAACCTCCCTTGGGTGCTGATCCCGGTGGAGGTGGGGAGGGGCGGGGGGGGGGGGGGCCGGGGGGGTTAAAAGGATGGGTCTTTTTGGGCTTTCTTGCTGCTTCTTCATGGTTTTGGGGTGGGTATCGTTTGCTTTCTTGGGTGCTGTAGATCCCCCAGCAAAAAAGTGTTTGACTTTTGCCGGTTTTTAGGGGAAATATGAGGGAAATCCAAAAAGCTAAAGTCTAAAGATCCAACCCAACAGCAGTAGAGCTCCATTTGCTGAAGTCGCTTGGTAGTGATAGATTCTCTTTAAAACCAAGAGGGGATATTAAAAATATTCTTAGCTAAATGGAAGCGAACATTTAAATTATCTTTGTCCCCTTTATTCAAGTCTGAATTTATTCCACTTGTTTACTTCTGTTCCTTTTCTTTGGCTTTGTCATTTCCTCTTCTGGGAAACTGTGGATGGTTGCAAAACCCCCTACGACTTTCCCAAAAAGCCCTGGATGGCCAAACCAATCGTGGCCCCCGGCTAAGGATCGATCGCAACAACGCTGGCGAAGATGCGCTTTGTTTCCGAAACGCTTGCCATGCTGCGGATGAACGAAATCCAATTCGCACCACTTGGAAGCCATGAGAAACCGTTGTTTGTTGGTATTTGCGTTGGGGAATCGAGACATTCGAGGGTTTCTTCGGTGGTGCGCAGTGGTACGTCTGGAAATTGGTGTGATGTTTAAGGGAATTGGGCGACAAACAAAATGGGCGACACATCTTGAAAACCACTTGTTCAAGTGGTTTTTGTGGGAAACCGATGTTTTTACACTTTCTTTTGACGGGGGAGGAACCACTCGTTTGGTGATCTTCTTTCGGGAAAACCGATGACTTTTTTGCGGGGCAACCACTTGTTTGGTGGTTTTTAATGGAAACCATCAGGAAACCAAGTATTTGATTCTTTTGTTTTGTTTTTTTCTTGGGCAAGGGGGCGAGGGGTCCTCCAGATAAATTGCTCACCCAAGTTCTCCTTTTTCTCACGTAGCAAAAAAGCGTAGACCCGAAAACATTAAAGGTTAGTTTTGGGGACCCCAGAAGAGGTAAAGTTGGCACATTTTGAGATTTCAACCAGGGGAAAATTCACCATCCTCCAGGTGCCTTGTACCTGACAGGCAATAGCGGTTTCTTGGGGTAGCCTTTTTGAGGTTAAAAGAGGCGCCGAAAGGAACACAGCCTCTTTTAGGGCCCCTATGCTGACACACACCATAAGGGTCCAAATAAATAACCTTCTTTTCCTGTGACCATGAACCATGATTGAATTTGGCGAGAAAGTTCCCCACATCAATACAACTAACTATTTAGGCCGATATAGTGCTCTCTCGGAACATTCCTTTTCGCATTGTCGGCCAATTTGGCCAAGGATGCTATGTAGACAAGGTAACTCTTTGATAATGAATAAACCACCGGTTGATTCACAGAAATGTGGCCCTGGGAGGGACTCCGCATCGCAGAAACACCGGGTTAAATCCAACAGGTATATTAATCTTGGCGGTCCCCTTGAAACCCTTTTGAACCACCCTATCAAGGGGCCAAAAAAAGGACACATGGCTCAAACATTGTGGGCATATGAGAGGGCAAGCAGTCCCAATCGATCATGCAGGTTATCCTGACCGTAGAGGGTATCGCAAATGCTATCCCACACACACACACACAAACACACTCTGGTGTAGCCCGCGTTTGTTTCGAGCCTTGGCGTTGGGTTGGTGTAGAGGAACCTGCCGATGCCTTCGTCCTTGCCTTAGATCGAAATGACCAGATCCTTCCCCGACCCCGACCAGCAAAACTGGCCGCCAAAAAAATGGGAAGTGCGGATGAATACTCCCTTAAGCCCTGGCTGCTCGATAGGGGTCCCTTTTTCGTGGGTCACCACTTTAGGGAACATAGGTTGATCAAACCACACTACTAGGGGGTTCATTTTAATATCAGGGATCCATTGATACTGTAGATGGACAAAATCCTGCACGGATGAAAAGCAGCTGGGGTTGGAGCATTCTCCTTGAACCCTTAGGCCTCTGAGTAAAAAACATGGGCCGCTCAGGTCCCAATGGCTTTGTGCCAACAGTTGGCCGGTGTTGGGCAGGTTCCAGGCGGGTTGCTTTCGGAAGTCAGGGCTCGCTCTTGCGAAAGCGGCTCTGAAGAAAAGACCCCATCTCGGTGGTGTTTTACTAGGCTGGAAGAATCGGACCCCAGCAGATATATATATATATATCGATCTATCTATCTTTTTTGCCTGGTGAGTGGAAAACCCCACCCCCCAAAAAAAAGAAAAAGCAAAAAAGCAAAAAGGGAGCTAATTCTGGCAAAGATTGAAGGTAAAACCAAAAGGACGTTTTGCGGGTTCCTCCAAAATAGACACACCCTGTTGGCTGCCCAACTCAAGGCCCTTGTGAAGCTCACAGCCACTTGCGCGTCCAGATTTCAAGCCTCAAAGTTACGAACGACGCCCCAGGGAGAGTTGCTGTGATCCATGCTCGTGGGCAGGAATTAACCTGGGCTGCCCTCAGCTCCCCTGCTAAAAGTTTAACTTGTGGGCGAAATGGAAGCTACCAATCAAGCCTAGAAAATCCAAGAAGCTGAGGACGGTTGGGAGCCGCCAAGTTTAACTTGTTGTCGGGGTATATTTTGAGCGTCCATCACTTCCGCCTTTTCATGCCAGAGACGTCGTCTCGCAAATGTGAGGGGCTTTTTCGGGTCTTTCGTCCAATTACCGGCGATCACCTGTTGGGGCCGCTAAACATGGGAGCCCAACAGTCGAACGCCATTGGTCGGATCCTCCCCGATGCGCCTTACTGAGTTACACACTTTTCGAGAACCAAGGTGAGTGGCAAACATGAAACCATTCGAATGGGAATCAACCCCTAGAACCATGTGGGGAGCTTTTGGTGGCTCCGACCGAACCTTTCATTTTTGGGCCCTCAGGCCTTCGAATCTGAAGCGAGGACAAGCCCATAACACAGGACTCGGGTACCCCCCAACACGAATTGACCTCCCCCAGGTGTTTTGTTTTGCCAATTTCCACTGACTCGGACCTCCCCAAAGCGGGGATTCCACACCGCACCCACGCAAGCCGGACAAAAATGGAATGGAAAACATCCAAAACCTACCTCACGCCCCCCCTCATATCCCATTTTCGAGGGGGTGGGGGTTATATATATATATATACACCTATTATATGTATTTATGTTGTGTTTCCAGATGTGACGAGTCAAAGTTCTTGCGTTGGGTGGGTCATCCAAGTACAGGGTGAGGGATGGCGAGACATTCAAACCTATGTTGGTTCAAGTCATCCCTTAGATGGCAAACCAAAAGGAATCCAACTAGTGTTTGGGGCCCACAACAGTCTCAGATGCCCATGGGAAAAAAGGCATCCTTTGTTGTTGGTTGAGTTTAAAAGGGAAACCCTTACCAACAAAACAATGAAAAAGGGCGCCACTGGGAAACAGAGCAGTTGTAAGTGCCCGTTTGACCATCCTCAAAGCCTCGCAAGCACGGGTGCCTTCTTTGTAACATTGATGGGGTTCCTTGGTAAATGGCGCATAACACCAACCTAAACCAGCAACAACCCAGACCTTTCCCTTTGCCAAACTATCCGATCAACAGGACCCCCCCCCCTACCCAAGAAAGAAACAAAGTAGCAACTCCAAACTTTCGCACCATGAAGGCTCCCATTGACTCCGCGAGCTTTGCTTCCCCAAAGAAAGGCATATGGGGCCCATGCTGTTTGGGGGTGGTTTGAAGGGAAATCAAAAGGATCTACTACCATCCCGTGCTCCTATTTTGACACAAAATGATTTGATAGCCGCTGGAAGCTGCAATAGTTCTTGCACCGATGGCTTTATTGATTCTCGAGTGGCTCTGAGTGCCCTCTTGGAAGAGCCGGAAATGCTCAAGGAACTTCATGTACTTGAACCTGGCCGTGGAGTGGAGAAGTGGGCATTGGGTAGTTGAGTAGTGGGTAGCAAACGAGTGGGTAGTGAGTAGTGCGAGTGGTGTAGTAGTCGGTAGTGGGTAGTGCAGTTCCCCCAAAACCTGAAACTTGACCAAACCTAATATCTAGGCTGGAATTAGGACCCCAGCAAAAACTATGTTTTGCCTGGTTAGTGGAAAAGAAAGGGACCCCAAAAAAGCAAAACAACAAAAAGGGGAGCCAGTTCTGGGGAAGATGTGTTGTCAGTTTGGACCCCCGCAAGTGAGCCTTAGATGGGCGCTTTGCCTGACGTCTTCATCCAAACGAGGTACAATGGGGATGCGTTGATGACAGCGCCTTTCGTTCCCTAGAGTTCCCTAGGGTTCCTTCGGGAGCCTTCAGGGTGTTCCTCCCCCTTGGACCCCCCCCCCAGATTCGATTCCAACGAAGATGTGTGACCCAACTGACTCAAGTTCACTTGAACTCAAGGAGTGAAAACTCCGCTCCGCATGCACCAACAAGCGCACCACATCCCCTGAAACCAGGCCAGGCGCTCGCTTCTGGGGGAAGGACTCCAAAAAAAAACCAGGCTCCCCGAAACCCCCCACCAACGGTTCTCTTCGAGTAACTCCCGGATCCCTCTCCCAGTCCCGCGCTTCTGCTGCGACTTCCAGTTCTTGTTCTCCTCCAAGCACGCGAGGCCTGGGCGACTCGATTCCGAGCTTTCTTTGGTTTCCCCCACCTCCCCCCCCGGGCACGTGTTTGGCTTAGTTGGATGCCCGGCACTGGAAACGGGTTGGAATTAAAAGGGGCAGCCACTTCTCTGGGCTGTCCGTTTTCAGATCCCCTAAAAGTGACGAACTTTTGCTGGCTCAAATGGAAAGCCCCATGAACAGTTTAGCTTTCCGTGGCTCAAATGGAAACCCCCACTAAAAGCTGAACTTTTCGTGGCTCAAATGGAAATCCCCACTAAAAGTTTTAACCTTTAGTGGGCAAAATGGACATCCCCACTAAACAGCTGCCTTCAAATCCATTGTTCTGTAGATGGAAGGAGTGAGTCCTGCAGGAATGTTTCGCTCTCACAAAGGGAACCAACCCCTCCAGTAGTGACTATAGTCCTCCATTTGTTTCTGTAGTCTACTTTAGTGTCCCGATTTTTCCCAACCAAACAAGGGTAATTAACAGGGCACTGCTGGGGGACTTAGTCTTCATCACTTCCGTAGCCCACAAGATCCGAACCAACCAAATTTTACGCTTCCAATCGCCCAGCTCTCGAGCGCGAGCCAGCGAGTTCTTGGCTTGAGACTTGCTACATTCGTGGCCTGCGCTACGGCTCGCAAAATCTCCAAGTTGCTCTCACACGCGCTCGCGATACGGATAGGGCGCTCTGGGCCTACCAGTGAAAAGAGGCGATCACCTCAACGGGGAGAAAACACGCGATGAAGTGGGAAGGACCAAGATTTGGTCGAAAGAGAGCCGCCTAGCATAGCCAGGCGGGCGATGGCTTCAAGTTGCTGTACAGGAAGCCAAAGACGGGCTCCTTTGATGGTGCCGTCCGGAAACCTAACGTGCACACTCCTATGGTACTTACAGCAGTAAGACCCGGGGTGCAGCAGCACCCCGTGAAGTTTCCGGTGCAAGACCGACAAGAGGTATTTAAGCCACTGGATGACTATCTCAAGAGTCAAGACGCCAGCACAAGGAGGAAAGGCAAGCGAAGGCATATGTCTGGGTCCACGGGTGGTCAGAGCCAATTATCGAGGCATCCGTCCACAAATGAACGGGTTCACTCTCGCTGTAAGGCACGACGCAGCAGTTAATGAAATCAGACCACGGTGTCTGTTGGGCGATCACTTGAGCAGGCAGCTCAACAATGCCATGCGAAAGGAAATTCGGGCCAAGGTCCTCACGGGACGAGGCGTGTCCTATTCGCTGGGCTAAATTTGGGCATTCCCTTAAATGAAAAAGGGACCCCTCCTCACTTCCACAAAACCCGCATTTGGGATCGGGAATAAGCCCTGCACTATACAAAAGCTTAGCGGAGAGGGTACATCCGACAACTGCAGAAAAGCACATCTCACGGTCGGGGTTTTGGGATGTCTTGGCGGTGAAGGACAAGGTGAGGTCAGAATCAAGGATGCTCACAGGATCTGTAAGATCCTTTCGGCGTCCTTTGGAAGCCGACTGATATGCAACATTTCTGATGGCTCTATACAGCAAATTCTTTATCACAGCAATGTCACACTGGAGGAAATTAACCGCGATACAATCAAAGAAAGTCACTTTGGAAGGAGCAGAAAAGGAAATGCCACAGTGATCACAGGCAAGCTGAAAAGAGGCAACCAGCGAATGCTTTGGGGAATGGGTCGAAACGGCAGTCCACATGTGGAAGGCATGAGGTTCACTCCTGAGAAATTTCACGATTCCCAATATGGCCCGGACTGCTCTGGCATAATAGGGATCAACCTGCCAAGGCTTGAATTTCAAGCCAAGGAGGAGAAAGGTGGACCGCCAGTGGGGCCGGCCCCTCCATAGCGTCGCGGCGATCAAGGCACGCAGGTGGGCGCCTACCCCTTGGGAATCGGGTTGACCTCAGAAATATAGCTGATCATAGGAATGGCTTTGCCGTAATAAAGTGAGCTTTTTCGGCCGTATTCAGGGGGAGATCACCTATGGCTTTGACTGCAGTGCGGAACTTATTGGACTTTTCTTCCTGCCAGGCAAAGGCATTTCGCTCCGAGGAGAGCATGGTTGCACCTAACATGGGAATCTCAAGCTTGTGCTGGAAGTGCGGGAAAATGTCTCTGACCGCTTTCCTGGCGGAGGTAGAAGAACCCATGCGACTGATTTTTCGGCGTTAGTGCTCTGGCCGACCAGAAGGTCCCACACTTCAGTGATGGTCACAGCACGGCGAAGTGTTTCAATGCGGGTTAGTTTTGCCCACATGTAAGAATCGTCCAGGAAAACGGCGTGGTCTGGGATGCCAATCTGGCTGAGCATGGCAGACCAACAAGCCATCTGCACGTTTAGCGCAAGCACAGACAGTGGGCAACCTTGTGCCATGCCACACGTTGAGGAAAGGAGAGAAGGATGTGCAAACTTTTTCCAAGTGATAACGCGGCGGTAACTCTGATAAAAGGCAATGATATAGGTAACAAGATTTTTGGGGATGCCAAGGGCAAGCCAAATTGCACCCACCGTGGACGGCAACAATCTATTTATCAAGATGAACTCCCACGATCGGGTCGCTAGTGCAGTGGGCGTTGTCAATAGCAAGCCTCAGCCTGTGGGTGACCAAAGAAACGTGCCTTTTCTTCATCCCTCCGCACAGCTGCTTCGGAAGAATCTGCGATTGCCAAGCAGTGGTGTGAGCAAACCGGGCGCTCGCATACATGATTGAGAAAATGGGGAGCACACTGATCAAGCGTTTGGCAAGGGGAGCATGGCCACCTTTCTTAGGGAGCATGACCTGCCGGGCGGTGGCTGCTGCGATGGGGACCCTTGAGCCATTTTCTACCGCGGCGCAGTAGAGAGCTAACGGACGGAACGCACACGGAGGCAAGGATTGGAGCTCAATGGTGGCCCATCCATCGATTCCTCCTGCTCGGTCAATCCAGTCCCAGGCGGCGTTAACAGGGGCCTTCATGGGCACCAAAAACGGAGTCCCACTGCTGGGCGGACACGGCCAGTGCGTCGACTGGGTGGTAGATTATTTCGCCCTGAAGGTCAGTAATGACATTAGGGGAAATGTCCATTGCGCGTTTTTCAAGTATTTAAAGATAGGAGCTTTGGAGGTGGGCTGCTTTCCACATCCAGCATCCTTCATCAACTTTTTCCAATCACGGATGGCTGCCATTTTTTCCCTGCGGGCCGCACTTGAAATGTAGTTTAAGACATGATTTTTGCACTCGACGAGCTTGTGAAGGTCAGGCCACGCAGGCAGCGTTGGAATCTGGAGCAGCGACAGGAGCATCCTGCGCACACGTTGCCATGTAGAATCAAACCTAGATTCGTCAAGTCCGGGTTTGATACCCCGCTGAAGTCTGATGCACATTTCCTTGATTTTGGCCAAAAGGGAAAAATGGGGTTTAGTCCATCTGGAAGTTTTGGGGCAATCTTCCTTGAAAGAAGGTAGGTCACCTCTAACCTTTTTCCCACTATTCCACTTGGCACCAGCGCTTTGCAGAATGTGGAGGGCAAACTGGTGCGAAATTTGCCACAGATGAGGGGCAGACGAACTGGCCGCTTCAGCTCGCTCAGCATATTCAGAATGCCACAACTTTTCCGCAGGTTCGGTGAGCGGGTGCGGATGATCCCTTGGGCCGGTCTGAGATGGGAGGCCACCAAGGTTTAAAGAAGCGGGTTTATCGATGACAAACCCCTTTTTTTCAAGAATGACCCAATCGAACGAGACCCGTATGGGGATATGCTGCTTAGCCCAACTATAAATAAGGGAGGCACCTCGGCAGGCGGCCGTGGCAGTGGCGTTAAGCAAAATGCCATTACTGCGCTGGTCGAAAGTGAGGGGACGAAGGATGTTATCATCCTCATCAACAGATTCAAGCGGATCGCTCCAATAGCCTAACTCAAGGGCGAGCGCGAGATTGCAGTAATTTCGGGGTTCATCCTGGAAATCCCCACCAATAGCAACAGGGCGATTTTGAAACTGGGCAGCGATAAGCAAATTTTTGTCAAGAATGCCGGTGTTATAGTCATGGAGGGACTTAACCTGTGAGGCACCACTTGCGCCATAGAAAGAGAAAACTAAAAACTGCACACCAGGCGTCGGGGTGACCCACGCGGCACACACCCTGGCTGTGGAGAGCACGGTGTTCCAAAGACCTGTGGCATCTTCTTCTGCAGAGAAAGGCCTGGAGGTGCCAGCGTCTGCAATGAACGCAACACCACCGGCTTGGGCACGGTTAACCCCACGGACATCTGTGGTACGTGGAAGAGGACGACCCGGGATGAGGTCAAGATTAGCAGCGGCAGCACGGGCGTGCTGTTTGGCTAAGTTTCGTTCTTCGAGACGAGTCTCCTGAAGGGCAATGAAAGGGGCATCCCACTCGAACACGGAATCATGGGAAGGGACGGATCCCACATTGGCCGAGATAATGGACCACGATTTTTCCGCAGGTCCTTCACCGGGGTAACCCTTGGTAGAGTCAAATGCGTCAAAGAGAAAAGGCAAGAAAGGACAAGGCCAGGTCACAAAGACGAAAAACAGAACATCAGGGAGATTCCCACAGTAAAGTGCAAAAAGCGAAAGGTTCGCGCCGGTATGCAACTGCGGAGCATCACTGAGGCGGCAGGCCTGGGGCTCAAAGAAACCCTTGAGCCGTCTGCCACCATCAGGTTGGACACTTTTGGCAAAATAGAAAATGGCTCTGCCGAAACAGATAACAACTTTTGTGGCGACAAATCCGCTTCCAGGTACAACTGGGAAGAAGCTCATACGGTCCGGGATGGTATGGTTATGTGAGGTGCAGTGGTGGGGCGATGCAACGGTGCATCTGACACGATGCAAGGCGTCCTGTAGGGGTGGTAATAAAGCTTGAGTGTATTTCAACACTGCAAAGAAGCACAGGTTACACAGATTCGAATTACTTCCTTTGCGCAAAGTGGTATGTAGCAGCAAGCTGTTGGGGGAGCTTGAAGACACGCAATCACCATGGCGCGTGCTCGGCGAAAAAACAATGTGGACACACACAGTCATGCACCGATGAAGTTGGCCATCAAGACATGGCATTGAAAAACAAGCCAATCGCATCGTACTGGGAGCGTGATGCGCAATGGCACAAAAGGTGCAAGGCATGCAGTGGAAAGGCGTAGGTGGGCTTTGCCACCAAGCCTCGGCGTTAGATTGCACAACGTACTGATGAACACAACAAGGATTGCAGCTCACAGAATGGGAAGAGCCCACACGGAAGCACTTGGGATAAGTGACAAAGCGGTTCCTAGATACGGTCAAAAGCAGGCTAAGCAGGAAGCCCTCAAGGTCCGAGATGGCAAGAGTGTGGCACTGAATTACACGAAAAGCGAGGGATGCGAAGCAGGAAAGCGCAGGAGGGCTTTGCCGCCAAGTCCCTGCATTAAGTTGCACGACGTGTTGGTGAACACGCCCAGGATTGTAGCTCTCAGAATGGGAAGTACCCACACGAAAGCGATTGGCAAAGCGTTGGTCGCTATGGCAGCCAGGTGGGAAAGAAGGCCGGCAATGCGCTCCGGACCACAACCACGAGTGTTCAGAGGGTAAAACCTATCCCCGCATAGGGTAAACCACAAACACACAAGGAAAGGCGCTCTCCAATAGACACAAGGCCACTGGTGGGCTTTACTGGTGCAAATGCAAGGATTGGGAGTGCGAGACCGCTGGGACATCCGGGTCTCGGTGCAGGGCGGAGATTGGGCTCCGTCACTGATCGGCTTTAATGTGCTTCGGGGGCAGCGTGTCACCCGAGGGCTGGCGCTCACGAGAAACAACGGC